GTATAGCGGCGACAGAGTGCTGAATACGAATGCATGGCATACTTTGCCGACGGCGATAGTAGCTAATTATTGGGGAAGCAATACCTGGGGTCATGAGTACTCCCCGAAGACTCCCCAAGCCAACAAAGATGTTGACGATCCATTTGGTCCGAGTTCGCCTTCGATTAAGATGACTACGCTCGGCGAGGGTGAAGAGTTGAGAAGCCCGGTTTCGTCGCATAAGAAGGCCATCAGCATGGATGCTAAGATAAACCATCCGAAAATTGTCCTGCCCGCCCCAGAAAAAGCACCACCGGAGACTTTCTCTCCTGATTATCCCATAGAATTGAAGACAAACTCAGCACAGTTCAGGTTACTTTTCCCGAGCGTGCCGTTAGACGAAAAATTAGTCTTAGTCTTCAGGGCTTCTTGGACCAGCACCTCGGAAGCTGACCGTGACGTACCCCAGATGGCCGGCAACGGGCGAATCTTCGTTACTCCAGATAACATGTACTTTTACGGCCATCAAATGGGCTTCGTCATAACCTATACCATTAACCTCGACACCATCACAGAAGTAACGGCTGCTCCTGGCAGAGATTGCGACTTTATTTTTCTTCATTTGAATCAGGGTACTGACGACATTGGATACACCCGAATTACAATAAAAACATTCCTCGAAGACCTTGATCTCTTACACGCGCGTCTGAACCTTCTCGTTGACGACCTGCAAGCTGAAGAGCCCATGGACCTACCTGAGCTCATCAGAGCGCTCATCAATTTGGAGAAGGAAGAAACAGACAGAAGAAGTCCCAGCGTGGATAGCTGGGAAGAAATTTCAGAGCATACTCCCATGGATGATGGTACTGCTGCTGGTAGGGCCATCAGTCCTCGGTATCACGACTCAGCTTACCACTCTCGACGCAGAGGCGCTAGAAAGCCTCTTCCTAAGTTCCAGCTTCCAACCCATCCTGTAATCTACGAGCCCGACGATATGCAGAAGAAGGTTGCCGAGCGGAACTTCGAAATCAGCGCTAAAGCATGCTTCCACGTCTTGTTCGGAGATAAGAGTTTCGTCTTTCCTAAGCTCTATTTTGAGCGAAGAGCCCAGCATATCGCTCAAGGCCCTTGGAAATTAAACGAGGCAGGGAATATGCACAGGCAGTTTCGCTTCAGCGTCAATTATACTACGAGGCTAGGTCGGTCAAGGGCCGAAGAAGTCACCGACGAGCAAACAATCGAATTGTTCAGCGACCACGTCACATACGTGGTTACGCACGTTAAAAGCCCCTGGCATCTACCTCACGCACATAGTTTTAAGTTAGTCACCAAGATTGTCATCACTCATGTCGCCAAGTCAAAATGCAAGCTCGCTATATTCACGAAAGTGGTATGGTCAAAACCACCAGCTCTTGCCAAGAACCTAGTCGAAAGGCAGGCGCTCGACGATGCTAGCCAGGATGCCGAAGATATCGCCGAAGTTGCGACGGATCAGGTACGAAAACTCGGACATCACAGCCGCACAAAGAGGGCTATCCAGGTCTACGGACATATAGGCCTACAAACTCAGGTTGTAGTCTTCACACCCGGAGACAGCGGCGCGTCGAGAAAGCCACAAATCAACCCGCGCACATTAGGTTCGATGCTGTTAGAAACCGTCAGGTCCTTCGCCGATAGTGTTGCATCGTCGCTGATGATGTGGACGTTTGCCGCTATAAAGAAGCTATGGGATGTGATAACAGCAGAGCGGCTTATCCTAGCCTTGCTCGGGTTCAGCATACTTACGAACGTAGTAATTTCATCCCAAAGCACATCGACATGGTGGTCCGAACGGCGCGCGGCCAACTTCATGAGCCGAGTCGGCGTGGGCCCGAACGTTGTGATGAGCAAAGCAATCTACATAGCGGACCTAGACGAAGCGGCAAGAAGCTCCAAGGCCCTCCCCGCGTGGCCGCAGGATAGCTACTGCTACTCGACTTTCCAGTCCATCGCTAATAGCAGCGACGCGGACGCGCCGTACGAGTACGCGGGGTCGTCTTTATCATGGAGCTCGAGCCGGGCGACAGCGCGCCGCCTGCGCCAGACAAGACAAAAGCTCGGCGCGTACCGGCACGACTTGCTAGTTGCGATGCGCACGGTCAACAGCGTCGAGCGCGAGATGATGCACGCCGAGTGGGAGAACTGGCTACTGGACGAGAACCACCGCTGCGAGCAGGTGGAAATGGTGCTTGCAGCATGGAACAACTCGGCAGACGGGGGGAAACTTAAGGGTGAGATCGCACAAAAGGTTCTAAATAGAAATGGCGGAGACACCAAGGACAAAGATAAAGATGAAGCGAAAAGAAGGAATTTGCAGAGGTGGCACGAGGAGTATTGCGGTAGCTGCAGGGCGGATCGCGAAGCGCTGCTCCAGGAGAGGGAGAGCTTAAGCTTGGCTGCGGCGGTGTTGTAGATAAGGGAGGAAGGGAAGGGAGGGAATAAATTGGAAGTAGACGATTATAGCGAGGTGAAGGGTGAAGCGGGTTGTGGATAGAGGTTCCTCACGGAGCAAAGTATACAAACGAGTACCTACCTACTAATTGGAGATGGAGAAGAAGAAGAGTGGCATGCATGTACCATATTGTATGGAGGGAGCATTACTGGGTATTATCATCACTTGGGATTGTTTGGTAGAAGTCTAGGTTGGAAATACGAATACCCGTGAGCGTAATATTATATATTATTACTATTTTACTTCGCATGTATATTGTTAAATATAGGTACCTAAGGTATGTGTGTGCTGTTAGCTTTTAGGCTTGAATAGGGGGGGGCTTCACAAACGATTTCGGGTATTGGACGGAAACTAAACCTATATACAAGTATCTATTCGATTTCTACGTGCGGCAGTATACATTCATTCATGAGGAACAAAGTCAAAAATATTAAGTAGATAAGAGCATGTTAAATGTTAGAAAAAATGCAAAAAGAAAGTTGCTCAGTATGAGGATTGAACTCATGACCTTCGCATTTACTTGATATTTCCGTGAGGAGATATTAGTACGACGCTCTAACCAGCTGAGCTAACCGAGCTTGTTGAAAGGTACCTTTGCAAAATGGTTTATATTTCTAACAACGGTTCTAGAGGAATTCCAGGGATTGCCCCACCCTAAATCCCCATTCTATGTACCTAGCTCCCCTTTACGTAGGATGATTCTCATTTCAATCTCCCCCGCAACGGCTGGTTAAAGCGCTATTCGCAGTACAGCGCGAAGACTTCAGAATATTTCGGGGGGTTTACTAGACTCGCTAATGAGATTGAAAATCGGAATTGAGGCTCCTTACATTTGATTATTTGGGTCAGATAAGGATTGCGGGTTAAGTGGAAGGTAACAAAGATCTACGTAGGGAGAGGTTGGTTACGGGGCTCTCAAACAGTATGGGGAGCAACACGACCTCGAGATAGAAATATAATTATAACTTGAGTTTTTAGGGAGGAGATGTTTCCTTGCTTCAAAGTAGGGATCTGTTCTATGCCATGATAGTCGGAGTAAATAGTGAACTATGGGGTAGTTACTCTGTAGTTATAGTAAATCTTGCTTTCTGTTTACTTAGCTTGGACAACCTCAACTAATATACGACACGCCCTACTTTAAGAGCTCTTGTTATGTACTCGGCGATTACGAACCTTGTTTTATTCAAATCGTCGCTATATACTGCCTTTAGTTACAGGGAGTTTGGGTAGAATATCAAGATATTCTCCTGCAAAGCTCGTTAGTTAGTTAACAGCTAAGGCTCGCTAAAGGGCATTATGAGAGTCAAAACTTGGCCTCTTATCCATATTACTTAAAGTAATTATTTCAAGTACCACCCAAAAAATTATAGTATAGAACTGTTGAAGATACATATCGCAATCATCTCTAAGAGCATGAGTAAAGAGTTTCCAGCTACGAGTGATCCAGTCTTAGGTTGATTTATAGCCGTGTTTTCGCGTCTTACCTTCGTTCTTGAAGTATTAGGTATGTAGGGACAGTTAATTGAACTAAGAGTATTGATGTATGTAGGTATTTAAAAATAGGAACTATCGAAGCTTCAACTTTATAATGCGCTCCATGTGTGTTTGAGGTGATGTATCAAGTACACACTAGAGTCTGTCTAATACGAAGAGTGGATGTCTATACAGGTAGGTATATAGGAGACCTAGGAAAAAACATTATGTTTCCATATATGTTGGCAGGTGGTCCACGTCACGATCGTGAGTCACGGCGATAGCATCAAGGGAAGGAACGAGGCCCCTAGGGCCCACAGGGCCGATTATATAAACAGACGAGGTCCCGTAGTCCTTGTAAATTTAGCAACGCTTCCGCAATACAAGTCCAGTTCCACATTATAGAATAAACCTTAATGATCCATTTCCTCTATGCCTTTGGTACTTCAATGGCACGATAATGGGGTAATGTCGATTTACAACGTATATGATTGGTGCAATTAGTCATTTCCTTATATCGCTTTCTCCTGCTTTGAAAGCCGTCAATCGGCTTAGAGGCTTCCCAATGCAATATCGACCTAATGCAGTCTAATATCTTAGCTAAACCGGGCTAATTTTAAGGCCTACCTCATAAATGGGGCAACACTACTGCATCCTTATGTAATAACAGATAATACTGCATGTACGAAGTACGAAGGGAGTACGAAAAGATAATTTAGGGGTCGAGGCTGATGTATGGATGCATGTGTGACGTCAAGGATATTGGAGCTCAGCCTCTCGCTTCCACCGAACAAACGAGAGAGGCCAAGCCAAACTCCATACACTTTCCATCTCAATCCTCGCATTCGCCTTTCACCTTTTCAACACTCCACGTTATTGTCATATGATACATTCCTACCCCCTAATTCAAGCCAATTCCTATTATTAATAATTCCCATGAATCACCACTGTTTCTTCTTATAATCATTGTACTTAGCGATCATTGGCCTTGGGCACAAAATGGAATCAATAACTTTACAGTAGCTACGATTACTTTTGAGTCACAAGTATTTCCTTTACAATTCACATGAGCTCAAGACACGTGCACCAAAACCGTCGCTTAGATCTTAATACAACGCCGTATCTGAGTGGCTAAAAGGGTATAAGAAATTATGCCGAGCGCCCACGAGACCTTCAAGGCTCTCGGCTCTATCAATTGGGACGACGTTCCTCAGGATCAGCTTGATACTTTCCTCAAAGACGCATTCACCAATGCACAATGCATAATCGATTCGATCCCGGTATCCTCCTCGTCCCTGCAACATATGGGCTTGCCGCGGTCGGCCACCGACACGAATCTTTCTTCATTACCCAACAGAGACTCCAATTTATCAGACCATGCGGCGCAACTAAGAAAGGAATGGAAAGAATGCAAAGTCAACCCACGTGAAAATCCACTGGGATTGGATGTTTATAAATTAGCTGCTAAGGACGGAAAAGGTGCTTGGTTTGCTAGACGCAGCGTCCACGATGGCTTCACCTTTGAAAAATGGAGATTGGGATTGGAGAAGGAGTTTGACGAGAGCTTAAAAGTAGAAGGAGGACCTGGCGCGGGGAGCATCAGAGGGATTGGTGCTGATAGAAAGGTCGTCAACCAAACCGTTGAAGGCATCGGCAAGATGCGTGGTATGTCTACCATCGTCTTCAAGACTTGATAAAGCTAACCAATTATTTTAGTTTATCAACTATCAGCTCAATTCCCTGGACCGACCTCACCTCGAGACTTTATAGGTCTCCTGCTGAGCTCCGACTCGGTCACTGATGCTCCCGGTACGCCCAGACACTTTATGCTGGTCTCGAAACCGTGCGTTCACCCAGAATGTCCACCACGACAGGGCTACATTCGAGGCCAGTACGAGTCTGTCGAGTTTATCCGTGAAATTCGAGTGGAAAAGCCTTTACGGAAAACCCGATCATCAATAGACCTACCTAATGACGAGGTTGCGGCGTCGATGCGGAAAACTACCGAAAACCTTAGCAGAGAAGCCACTGTCCGTTCAGCCCGCCAAGCAGCCGACTCTGCCAACAGCGAGGGTGGAAGGAAACGAGGTAGGACTATTGGGAGTGCCGACGTTGGAGACGATCGAGAGGAAGACGACAACTACGAGACCATGATCGAATGGTTGATGGTTACTCGAAGTGACCCGGGTGGTAGTGTTCCGCGATTCATGATCGAAAGGGGGACGCCACCAGGCATTGCCGGCGATGCCAACAAACTAGTTAAATGGATCTCGTCGAAGTCTATTGACGACCTCGCCGAATCTGAATCCGAATCCGACAATGAAGACGCGAAACCTGAACGTGAGGTATCTAACGCCGAGCGAGTAGATTCCGACAAAACGGTCACAGCGAATTCTACGTCGAATGCCACTCACCACTCAAAGGCCCCGCAACAATCAGCTACTAAACAGACAGAAGAGATTGAGGAACAGCCTGGCTCTGTGGGCGTGTATGGCATGATAGCAAATGCCTTGAATGCTGCAGCTTCCGTAGCAGCCTCACACATCCCTCATCCCTTCGGTCCGGTTAACGGCGAAGATGCAGACACGTCGGACCTCACATCGGAAAACCGGGACGACGACGAATCGTCTATCCACAGCTTCCATAGTCTAGAGGGCGAGGGAATAGACGAAAATGATAATGCATCACAAAAGCCGGGAGAAAGTTCAACCCAGCTTACACCTTCGGTCACTAATGGTGGCGCGGAATCTATAGTCTCAAGCGAATCGCTTACAGCCCACTCAACAGCGCCGTCACATCACGAGAAAGAACTTAAAAAACTTGAGGAGCGAAAGCGAAAGACGGAAGAGAAGCTGCGGCGGGCTCAAGAGCGGGCGCTCGCTAAGCGAGGCAATGAAGACACGGAATCCCAGCGTGAAGAAGCCGCGATGCAAAAGCTGCGCGAAAAGCACGAGCGCGAGATAGCAAAGCAGCAAGAAAAGTACCAGCGGGAACTAACAAAGCTAGAAGCGAAGCGCGCTAGCGAGCAGAAGAAGGCCGAGGAACGCCGGCGTAAGGCTCTCGAGCGCGAGGAAAAGACCACACTGGCTATGGAGCTAAATAAGGTGCGGGCCGAGCGCGATATCGCGCACAAGCAGATGGAGATCTTAAAGGAACAGATTGGCGAGCTGCAAGCCCAGAACACGAAGCTGGTCGCGCGCCTCGGCCGCGAGGGTATTACCGTGGATGATAGCGACGGCTCGAGTTCCCTTGGCGGAATCAAAAGGTCCATGACGGATCAGACGTCGGATCGAGATTCCAGGAGCGCAAGTATAGGGCGTTCGTAGACCGGACGGAATATTACCTGCGCGAGCTGTCTCTGTATTTCGGGCGAGGAGAGTTGCGTTGTTCACAAGAGCTGATTGAGCTGTGCATGGCATAACATATCTGTTGCTGCGGAGGAGGACGGAATTTGCATATACTACCTAACCTACGTACAACACAGACGGAAGAAAACCACACATAATACCAACAAGTTCAAGTTTAAATATCGGCGCGAGAGGCACATTAGTGGTAAAGATGGCGATCGAGTTATTTGTAATCCTTGGGCGGGCTACCTTGGTTACTGTTACTACCAGCCTGCTTGGGGATCTTACGACATAAGACGAGTTCACGAGTACATGAGGGAGTCGTTCGGGCGTTTTGTATCGCATCATAGTGTGTTCTATGTTTAGAGTAGCAAATAGCAAGCAGGCAAGGCGAATAAATAGTAAGAACTTAGGTTGAATTTGCATGAATAAGTGTATGCCCTACGTTACCTACCTAGGTATACACATAGATACCATACCCCTTTTCCGATACAACCACCTTAGGTACCTTAAGTATTACTTATCCAACCCGGCACACATACCAAGCAACAGCCCACTTACCTCCGCCCGCCGGCCCTCATCCCTAAACCGCTTTACCGCATCCCTAATCTGATCATCTCCGGTTGCCGCAAGCGCAGTACCACCAATCAGGATCCGCGCGCAAATAGCAAAGACCTCAGGCTTCGAAGTCCAGCCTAGCGGGCCATCTGTGCCCTCTGCAGTCGCGATGCGTGATAGCGTCTCCAGACCGGAGAGACACCATTGCGACAGCGCTGCCGTTGCTTCAGATGGATATTGTTGAGGAAGAGACGAGAAGATATTGCTCCATCGATGAGCTTCTCGTACCTCGTCCACGTACAGGTTCTGCTCCTCGATGACGAACAGCGAGTCGTCGAAGCGCATGGCCACTGCGAGTTGAGCCTCAGCTGGGATCCAGCCTTTCAATAGTCGTTTGGCGGTCGAGGGGGTAGCGCCGGTAGGGACTTGTTCTAGGGTTACGTAAGAAGATGAGGGTGAAGAGGGAAGGTTCCCAGCCATGCGGCACGCGACGTGCGCTCTGAACTCATCAACATCTCCGTAATGCGCTAGTAACCAATGCAATAGCCGCCGGCCAGCTTCGACGGAGATGAGGCGCTGGTTCGATAGTAGAGGGGTTGCTGCCGAGGCGGCTGCGGCGCGGACTTCGTCGTCATCGTCGTTAAGGGCGTCGTAGAGGGCTATGAGCCACGGTAGGTGTGCTGAATCGGAGTTCTTCTCTGTCGAGGTTAATTTGAGGGCAACACTTGTCGAAAACGAGTGCATGGCACCAACGGCAGCCATGCGAGTATCGAATGTCTAGTAAAGATACAGATATTAGTTTCGCGTATGATATATATAGTGACCATTCTGGTAGAAGCTGTGCTTACCCTATCCGCCATCCCGGCGTCGCTTATCATTGCACCCCAGGACCTCAACCACGGTTCTAGGTCGGTATTGGTTGTCTCAGATCGCAAGACTATAACTGCCAATAATGGCCCGCTTACGCGGACGATAGCATCCGATAAGCTTGGATTCATGGGCTTTCCGTAGAGATCTGCCCAGAGTTTTGCTATGGCCTCGTTGTCCGGAAGATGTTTTAGGTCCTCTGTCGCACCGCAGAGCACACTGTCCATGAGAGCTGCGATGTTCTCCAGGGCCATCGTTCGCGGCTCTGGTGCGTCGGTCTCGAAACATACTTGTATATATGTATCCATGAGGTTGCCTCGCGTTTCGATAGACAGTGACGAATCAATAGGAGACATACTTTCTAACATGGAACAGGCAACATTGACGTCTCCCTTTAACGCTGCCACCAGAACCTGTCTCAAGGTGTCGTCTGCCTTTTTGCTAGATTGCCTCAAAGCTTGTAATAGAGCTGCTTGCCCGAGCCTAATATCTAGTAACGCTGACGGTGCCGTTTTTATACCAGGCTGGTTGTTAAGCTCGAACATCCAGGAGAGCAAAAGATCCTGAGATTCAACGACAAGACCTGTCTCTGAAGTGTTTCTTGTCCTCTTTAATCTGGTTATGAAGTTGGCAACTTCAATATAGACTGCTCTTGTTTCCGAGCACGTACTAATACTCTCATTTCTTGAAACTAGTTCTACAAGTATGCCGTATATTATATTGACGTTGCAGTCTGTAAACTGTCAGTATGGAATGTAGCATATATGAGCGATACACTTACCTGAAAGCTGCTCGGGCATCACCTCGGAAAGCCTCTCAAGCAAGAACTTAATAGTTAGGAGGGATCCGTGTAGCTTATTCGAGGTCTTAGAACTAGCCAAAAGATCCGAGACGGGATTAAGCCAGCCCGGCTTAAGGAGAAAGGAACATAAGGTCCGGGCAGCAATTTCTCGGACGTGCCAGATGTGGCTTCCCAAGTACCACGCGATGATGTCGTAGAGCTTGTCACGGAACTCTTCCGGTGGCCCAGCACGACGTATAATATCCAATGCCGGGAAAACAGATTCTGCCGTCTGTGTCCCTATTAGGACCCCGCTTGATTGCTGGCCCGTCTCCAAGAGGTTCACCAGGAGTACTGGGAGAGCTTTGAATTTACTATATGGTATCTTGATGGTCCGCCCATCCCAACCTGCTTCAATTGATGTTTTACTCTCGCTGGTGCCAAAGAGGCAGTCGATGAGACTTCTCAGGAGCAAGAGACCACAGTTTCGAATTGCCCATCTATGAGTTTTAGTACGAGTAGAGTCAATCAGTGACGGCTTGGGACCTACATTTCAGACTTCAGACTGCTTGCCGCTAATTCAAGGCAGTCAGTGAGATATGGCTCTGCCCTCTTGCTCAGGTACGAGCTCTTGAAGATATCTTTGATACAGTTTAAGGCATGTACTTGTGGTAGGTTTGACCCATCAGTATCGGATGCGAGCGCTGGTCGACGACCGATATCTTGCAGATTGCGAATGACATCTTCAAAAGATGGACAAGTCGCATTAGAAGAAAGTATACCGACGATAAGAGCTGGGATACCAGCCGATCTTCGAGTGGTAGAAGCTTGCGTGTGAATGCAAGTCAGCGCTCCCTATGCAAATCTTAGTACCTAATGTATCTGTAGTTTGGAGGTGTCGAGGTCTACTAACCTCATACCATTGGTCTAAGAAACCGGATTTGTCACTTGAAGGGTGTGGGAACCATTTTACGAGCTGGCAGCAACTAGTAAATGTCTGCGATACTGTCGTGAATGCTCCTCGGTGTCGCAAGTTCGATAGTTCGTCAAATGTGAGCATTCCAATCGCCTCGAAGTTGGCTCTTGAAGGAGCTAGAAGCCCAGGGCCCTGGTGGCTGGCGTTGCTTGCAATAGCACGCATCAAATTACTTGAAACAATTAGTAGCTACTTTAATAAATATTTACCGAGACCTTACCTTGACTCATGGATTGCCCTGAAGCTGTAACTAAGCAAGTCCTTAGTATCGAGTCCCTCAACCTCCTCGAGCTCTTCCGGCAGATGACCTTCCGGAGAGTCATCGCAAAGAACATGCCGCACAGCCCGCCATATTCTCTGGCAGCATGCAACAGCACGATCCTGTATTTTAGCCAGGGCCTCGATATCCTCCCTGGAGAACTTCATAGTTGAAAAAGAGTTCCATATATACCTACGCCCCTAGATGAGTACTCAATTTCCGAAAACAAGCTATGTGATCTGAACATACCTCAGGGATGCGAAGCTACCATGTACTGGCGCCTGTAACACCGCGTTGGCAAGGTCTTGTTCGGCAGCAGAAAGTTTAGACTCGAGACTTGACAGGATTGTAAATGGAATCCGCATTCGTTCCTCCGAGTTTATGCTCCAGCGGCATAGAAGCTCAAATGAGCGAGCGGCACCGTCGGAATGGTCAGCGCGGGCGGTTCGCCGAGCAAGCTCATCAGCCTTGTTGCAAAAGCTGCGCAACTCCTCGATAGGCGTTTTCCCTAGTTCCTTCATCTGTTTTTGTAGCCCTGGGTTCCCAATGTCGGGCGATAACGCCATCACTAAGGACGCAGCAGTCTCTCGTACATCATCGAATGGATCCATAATGAGATCCAGGATAGAGCGAAACCACGTTGCGTCAATTAGCAAAGTACTCAACTCAGAAGAGTCAAGTATAACACTCCCATTGGATGGAGCCGGCTTGGCGATGAATACCATGGCCTTCAATGCTGTTATATGTCGCTGATAGGATGTAGTAGGAGCAAGCTCATTCTTAAGAAATCCTACATACCAAGAAGCAAAGTCCTCGTGTTGGCGCAATACGGCGTTCAGCTTTTCGACTGTGTCATTTTGGTGTTTCTCTAATTGAATATCCTTATCCTCTCCTGTAGGCAGTCTGGGACCGTGTTTGCTCGATTTCGCCTTGTTAATCTTCTTAGAAATGCGGTTAGCTTCTCGCCGTAGCGACTCGATAGTGTTTTGAATACGCTTGATCATATTTCTCGAATGACCAAGGACATCATAACGCATTTTCGGATCTGAATCTTCATAAAACGATGGCAAATACTGCTTGAGAAGTTCGATTGCTTCTGTTGTGTATGGTTTCGTTGTAGATGGGGACGCTATGAGAAGTGAGACAGCGGATGTACGAGCTTCTTGAGAGTCATGGCACAGAACGCTTTCGAGTACGTCTGCTCGAAGCTGGAAACCTGATTGAGAGTCCTGTTCTAGTTCTTTGCATCGTTTAGCAAAACCTTTAACAATTTTCGGTGTCAGATGGCGATAGCTTACCACGACCCGGTTCATCCACTACCCCAACCTTCTTTCCTGCTTCAAGCATGGCAAGCCAGAGCATTGAATTGAGGTCCCATCCATTACTGTCCTTGCTAGTAAGTCTTTGGAGCGATGATAAATGGCGAAGGTATACTAGAGAACCTGCTCGATCAATACTGAATAACTGAACAAAAATATAAAATTTAATTGGCTCGAGATAATCGGGGTTCATCTGTAAACCCCTATATATGAACCTATGCCATGTGTTAGGTTCATGTCTGACGTCCTTATCCTCATACCAAGAGCTAGTGAAGATTGTAACGAGAAGATTTCCGACTACATGACATAGATAATGTAGTTCCATCCAAGCGAAGATGCCAGCGACGAAAGCATCCCAGGTATATTCATTTAGAGGTAGGCCGTGGATCTCGTTATAAAGCTCTAAGATGCTGCATAAATATACCAATTTCTTCTGAATAAAGCAATCTAAGACGACCATGGCAGATTTTACTGACGGCCTAGATGACTGTTGCGTGATCGTGCATACGGTGGTATTCAATATAGTTGCCTTGACGGAAGCACCAACCTCTGGTCTAGGATTGTTGGATATAAGATACGCAAGATAATCCAGGATGAGCCTCATAGATCGATGGGAGTCTTTTTCATTCCATTCCATGAAAAAGTCGAAAAGTCTCATGGCAGTACCCTCTGCAAATGCAAAATTTTGCAGTGTGGGCTTAGAAGACTTTGAACAATGCTCAATGAAGCCGTGAAGTTTCACGCAAGCGTTCCCTGAATACTGCCTTGGCTTTGCGGCACATATAATAAGCTCCTCGAACATAACTTGCCTAAGGAGTCTATGTAAGCGCAGGACTAGCTTTTCAGTATTGATTTACACTCACCATAGTTGCAGCTCTTCAGGCTGTTCTTCAAGCCAAGAGACAGCATGTTTCGGGTTGAAGTTGGTCTCACCAACTTGAGTAGCTATTTGGGAGTTCATTGCGTATTTGAGTGGTGATGGTGGGCCAATGTGTGGCCTTCTCTCCCCTTTCGATATATGTCCGCTTTAAGAGACTTATTCTCTTCTAGATTTGGATATTCCGTCGATATTATTGGGTAGGAATTGGGAGAAGAGAACATGGATGGTTTCGCAACCAGGTCACCATATTTAAAGACTTATAATAGTCTATAGATGGCTTCCAAGTATATTTCACTCTTATAAAATAGAGTATAAAATATTATAATCCATGATTGTGTCTTGTGAGGTTTGTAACATTCATCTGTGGTCTTATTATGCAGTTAATGAGGCCTAGAAAACCCTGTAAATTTTGAGTTTAGGTCCAAGGTACCTTAGGTACGTACCTGCCCATATCTGATATCTGATACATATGTGGCGCACGAGCGATAATTCAAAGACCTGGTATCCACTTATGCCACTTATGCCACTCATCTACGCAAGGAAACTTTTTTTTTTAATCGGCGAAAGCTTCGGTCACTTGCCCTCTGCCCTGGACCCGCGATTTCGCATACTGCGAGAAGAGACACGGCGGCAGCATACACCGTAGCGTATAATTCTCTTCTTGCCTGACATCACAGTATTATAATTGCACCCGGCAGCATGTCAATTTGGGATGCGCTCACCGGACGAAAGTCCTCATCCTCACAATCGTCATCTCCCACCTCCGCTTCCGCGCCCGCACCGACCGAAAACCTCACACCAGCTCCCTTCAACCCGGAAGAGGCGCAAGGGGTAGACTCCTTCTTAAAGAGCTCCGAGTTTGCCGATCCCTCCTTACTACACCCTCTAGCAGGCTTAGACAAGGATAGCTTAGAATACTTAAGCTTAGAGGATTCTGCTCTGTCGGATCTTCCCGGCGCACAGTCTGCGATCCCTTCCCGAGGTTTTAGTGACGATTTGTGTTATGGAACTGGTATCACATACCTCACAGCATTATCAATAGGAGGTGTGTGGGGACTCCAAGAGGGATTGAGAAGATCTCAAGGTCAACCGCCGAAGCTACGTCTAAACTCGGTCTTGAATGCCGTTACACGGAGAGGGCCGTTCCTTGGTAATTCTGCGGGTGTCGTCGCCATCACATATAACTGTTTCAATTCGGCTATCGGCTATCTTAGAGGGAAACACGACTCCGCAAACACCATAGCGGCAGGTATTTTAAGCGGCATGCTATTCAAGAGTACAAGGGGGCTCCGGCCAATGTTAATCTCGGGTGGTATTGTGGGCTCAATAGCAGGAGCATGGGCGGTATGAACCCTAAATAATCCCGAGCGTATAGTTGATGATGATAACTAATTCTCCTACTTAGATCACGAAGAAAGTTGTGCTATCTCCGGAGACTCGAGGACACGAGCAACACCTTTAGGTCTAATGATATATGCTAAGTACTAGATACGTTGATTCTCAGCTCGGGAATGCGGCCAAGGATATGGTTATGTATGATGTTGAGCCCGAGAACTAGGCCTTGCGCCGCACGATATCGCGATTTAATTGGGTGAACAAAGTTTACGAGTTGGTTGTGGAACGATGGATGATCTCTCCTCCGGCTTAGGCATGTGTATAAAATAGGTGGTTAAGAGCATTAGAAAGCATCCACGGTCGTGGATAGGTAGGCGTTCAAGTCGGCAACGGGACGGAATTGAATTTCCAATTTTGAACGAAGCAGAATTATACCAAGCAGCTTAGGTACAACGCGTGACGTCAGGGGAAAAGGGGAAAGAAACGATAGGAAGTGACGGCCCTTCTTAAACCCCTATCTTTACCTAGGTGTTGCCTGTCCACCTTAGGAATAAGGGACCAGGTAACATGTGCACATTGTGTTAGGTTAGGCTAGGTAGGTACCTTAGGCATCAGCAGTTGCCAATACCTTAAATAGTCCGACGGGGAAGCTAGCAAGCAGCATGCCTACCTCTTATATATAAGTACAGGTATCCCAGATACGCACCTACCTTAGGTGCCTAGACACATAGCAACATCCCGCTTATTAGGTATCTACCTACCTAACCTATCCACCTTCTCTCACTAGCGAACAAACTTACCTATCTTTTACTCCTCTATCTTTCTCAGATATTCCCATTTCTCACCAGCGTCTAAACAAATCAACCAAAATCGACTAAAAACTTATCTATCTACCCCTAACAATGTCTCAGTCATCCTCTGCAACCGACTAGGAAGCGGCACAGCAGACCAAGGAGGAACTCGTCGACAACTGCATCCAAACATGGCTGTCTAATGGGGTAGTCACTGGTGGGTCAAGAGGGGGATTAGTTACGCAGCAATTCCAATTTAGCGATACTGATCTTCCGAGGCAATACCCAAGCATAGGCTTAGAGGTGAAGGAAGATTATCGCTTAGTCACTCTAAATGACAGACCTTCCAAGGATCCGGAAATCCTGGAACAGCGACAGAGGCTCCGTGATTTATTAGAAAAAAATGAAGCGCTTTCTAGAGCCGTCGACTACGTACTGGAGCGAGAAATCGACCAACGGGAGCTGCTTGCATTTGAATCCGAATCTATCTTCGAAATACCTTTAGCATCCACGCTTAGTTTTCACGATAAGGTACATCATGTCATCATTCACAGCTTTGTTATATTATTAACCAGGTATGCCTAGGTTCATCTTATAGCCAGACATAGGCTTCTAGAACGTGAACTGAAGCCTTCGCCCGAACTTCAAACTAGGGTTACCCCTAAGCACGAGCCTAACGTAGAACCTCAGGTGAAGATGTCTATGCTCCGAGTTACAGCAATGGGTAAACTTCACCTCGAGAGTTTCTTCGCGCCCTTGTCACCTGATTATTGCCTAGAGTGTTTCCGCGCTCTCCTCGAGGAAGTAGCTGAGCCATATACCAGTATTGGAATCTCAAACCGCGAAATACTTGACGATGATCTCGACGGTACATCGGACGATAATGAGACACGTTCCTTGACTGAATCTGAATATGATGAGTGGGATAGGGAATGGCGATTAAGGTTAGAGCTTAGCAATGAGCAGCTCGCGAGTTGGTCTTATAGACTTTCAGATGCTCCTGGTAATCATGTTCAGAAGTCGGCAAGACTTTACACGGATTGGCTCTGCGTCGACACCAAAGATCAATATGAAAGAATGTCTTCATCAATCAAGGAACGCAATATTTCTGCCGTGTTTATCCGCGTAAGTTGTGTATTATCTGTCGTAGGTATAAGCTAACCGAATGCTAGACTTGGAAAATCGATGAAGCGAAGCGCGTAGCCAAGGCGAACGAAGCTAAACGCAAACTACCTCGTCAAGATAGCTCCCTGCTAAACAAACACTCGGCTCAGGGCAGTGGCACACGGGGAGATTCTTCGGTATGGACTGGCCAATCATTGGCTCCGGATGAAGAAAGGGGACTTCAGGATTTTGGTACTATGGAAGTGGATATTCTTTCGGAATCTAAAGTACGAAAGCAATAGGCTCTATCTTAGCGAATAGCATCTAAGCTAGGGCAGTGTATCACGGAACCCACGCGAATAGTTTTTGTTTGTAGTGATACACGGCGATGTGTGAATGGAGTCAAGAAATACGGGGACAAGATATAGCTTGGTATTTAGGTGACCTTTGCCACTCTGGTTTATTTGCTACCGTTCTGTATGGAATGTATCATTGATTCACCGATGCCTTAATACGAATATAATTTCCATTCGAAATGTGTTTAATGCAGTTCTACAACTAATTCTGAGATTTCATTTGATAATGCTATATGGCTTAACCTGGCTTCAGCAAAGTATAAGAAAGGGGGTGTAAACTACCTAAGGAAGTATGCCAGTAATAGCAGCAAACATTTTTGGCGTTCTATGGTTACGAGATCAAATTCAAGATTGTTTAATGACAGCATCCCCGTTCCTTCCCAGACCTAGGAACCGACATTGTTGCCAACCTATCATACATCCGACCTTACGAACAGAACAACTCCTAGCAGGGAATTCACCTGTAAATTTGATACGCTAAAATAAACGATACCTAAAAGATCAATACTACCTATTCATCCAAGATTCCATATCCATATCTTCTTTACCCGTCGTAGGGGACACCGCAACATCACCAACGCCAGCATGTGTTTTCCTTGTTGGTCAGTTAAAGATATCTATGTCGAGGAGGATCCCCCGGCGGAGCAGCAGATAATTCAGTACGTATGGGATGGTACTAGATGGGTTGCCATGATAGGTGATACCGTAAGTGGTTATTTTCTTTAGTCTCGCGATGATGTAAACAATGACCCTCCCTACAAAAGCAGCCATGGACTGGGACAGCTGGACTGGACTGGCAACAAATAGGACTGGAGACATTTCCAAAGCAGGGACAAATAAAGAAACAGGAAGAACCTCGAGAAACAATACTAGGATTCCAGGGACACTTTCACTTTGCGGAATAGCGCAGTGAGGCACAAAATAGTGAATTTACCTTTTCCCTATTGGTCACCTAGGGACTAGGTGCAGTTACTACGTTCAGTTACCATTCACCCCAATATCTTCCCTTTCCCACTTGCCCCTAGCTTTTATTTAATTTTTTTCCTTGGAACAAGTAGAAGTTTCTGCTAGTGGCAACTGCCTTGAAACCTGAATCTCTTTTACTCCTAAGGAAGGTACATATTCAATCGGCCCACTGTGCGGAAAGTCATTACCAATTCCTATTCCAAGGTTCCCATCCCCCCCCCTTTTTAACAATTCACCCTAAACAACCTTACCCCTGTTGCCGGTCACCACCTGCAGGTTGTTCACCATGGGCGCCGCCCCCAGATCTCCTGACCCAGGAGACAACAAGCACAAGAAATCTTCTTCTGCTTCTCCCTATACCACCACCACCACCACTTTCATTAATAAACCCTCCAAATCCTCCATTAAATCCTCCAACACTACCACTGCCAACCCTAAGATTCCAGCGCGTCAGCCTACGCCCGCTACTTCTGATAATAAAGGCGACAACGACGCCCATTCGGCATATCAGAGTCCAGGTCCCGGGTTTAACCATACCGTCGCGAACATACCTGGTATCGGATTGGTTTACAACGGCGGACATTCCAACCCCGTGCACGGCTTCAACCCAGCCGCTGGTCCTCAACCACCAGTGCATCATCAAACTCCTGGAATTACTCCTCCTCAAGTCTTGCCACCGGGTTTTACCCAGAGCCCTTTTCAGTCTTTCCCTCAATTTGGTCCTGTAAGCAACAACCAAACCCCAGCCATGGCATACACTACCGGCTCCATGCCCAACCAGGGCCAGCACTTCCAGCCACCCGTGCCTGACACCACTTACGGTCCCATCCCGCACACTTATCATCCCCGCTTCGATAACAAGCCCTCTCCCGGCCAGTATGTGATGATTGAAGGCCAGCTCTACGTTGTCGCTGCTGGTCCTCCTGGCCCTCCCGGCGGTGCACAAGTTCAATATGTGCCCATGCAACAGGTATATCCCATTCCCACACAAGGCTCGCCGAGCGCGTTGCCCGTATTCCAAGCCACTCCATGCTACGTTATTCGAGAGGCCGAGTCCCAGTCCAGTTGTTATCCCCCCAATGCAAGTTTCATCCAAACGTTCAGAAGCGCAGTAGCCGCGCGAGAGAATACGCCCTGCTACCTGTCCCAATTCAGATATATGGCTCTATCAGAGCATAACATAACATGATCTGACTTCCTTTCTCTTCACTAGCTGATTCACCCGAACCTTGCTCTTATAGAAGCTAACTCTTTTTTCTCTAGCAGCCGCAGTCTGGTGTTGGCGCACCTATCGTGATCCAGCAAGGTTCCCAGCAACCCATCTTCGTCCAAGGCCAGCCAGGTTTCCCCGCAGTTCCGATGGCCGCCCAGCCAGCCGCATTCCCTGCAATGGTGGCTCCGCCCGGAACCCCGATAGTCATTGGAGGCCCCCCTGATATCATGGCCCCCGGTTCTGCTCCGGACGTGATGGGAATTGGCAAGACCGCAACCGAGGTTCAGATGGAACAGTACCACACAGCTCTGAACACCGGGGCTCTCGAGGGCCAGGACATCGCCCCTGCCGATCCTGACCCGTCCCGTATGTACTATTGCCGAGAGCTTGATGGTGCATGGACTCTGCGTAACCGTTTCTGTATCGATCACATGGGTGACTGTCGTTGGTACGTCAAGCCTGGCGGTATCTTTTATGCCGTTCGCTTGGCCGACTGAAGGGTGTTTACTGGTAAGATTCTTGAATATCTCGAAATTGTATATATGTTAGCTAATATATCCAGGCATTGCTCGGCTCTTCCCGCTTTTATGCGATACTTTAATACCTTCTTCTACGATGCGTTGTGTTTCTCGATGACTTTTGTCCATCGGTAGGCCCCTTTTCGTTCCCTAGCTATAACGCCAACTGATGTATATTACCAAGATCAAATGCTTCCCTGGCCTCTTAATAGGGTCGCTAGAACACGGGTTTAATCTTCAAGATTAAGTGAGTTGAGACTGCCAACTACCATCCAAATTAAATAAGCACTTGCTAACAAACTGATTTGTGGACAGACGTCAGATACCGTCTTCACGATACGTTATGAAAAGACAGGCCGGGGAAATGACTTGGATGAAATGACGGATGGCAGCAGTCTCTGTAGGAGGTTTTTTTCCTAATACATACTGGTTTCCTTTTTGTGATGACACTTGACTTCCGGTGGACTATTCTTTCCTAAATAGCACTCTGGGATAGATCTTGCTCTCGTGAGATAGATTTCACATTGCCAAGACTACCAGCAGCTTGATGTTTACCAGAAGCTAAGAGAAGCCGAGAGAGATAGTCTACTTATCGGTACTTTAGGCAAGGTGATGCGAAACCCCTTTCCTTTCCTACTGCTATCCCTTAATATCCTCGGCTCGTTTGTTTTATTTTATTTTTTTTTCGCACGGCGTTCACGAATTTCTCTAGCTCTGCATAATAGTTGCACATCAATAGGAAGCATTGTCCCTATTATTAATTATGAGATTATGAGAATACAAAAGACTTGTTTTATATGCGAAGTGTTTGATTTGCGCAGAGGTAGGGATACGTGTCTGTAGTACCTAGTTTAGGTATGGATGACGAGGATAAAGTGAAGTGGTTTAAGGCTGAGATAAGGCTTCGCGCTAAGCCCGACCACCTGTCAGCCCTGATAGGCGGTTGTTAACAGCTGAGGTCACCTGTGCTAATCAAAACTTCCCCTTATCACCTTCTCCTTCATCTCAAGTTATCAACCATAGGTACTCACAAACTCATTCTAATAGAGCCTGGCTGGTTTGCTCTTCACTATTTTGCATGGCTGTCGTCCTTATATGGTCTATAATACGACCCAAAGTCGATTGGAATTAATTAGTATAGGTAATAGTCACGTTCGGTTGTTATTCTCTAGCCCTCACGCCCGCTTCACCTACGACTACTCCTTTGTAGCAGCTCCTATTCTATCGTGGTTTCGGCCCTTTGCCGGGAGGGGCGGGGTAGGACGCCGTCCGATACGTATGTCGATCTACCCTGGCGGTCGGCATCCCCTTCGATCGCCCCAATCTAGATAGCAGGTGGCAGTCGGGATTGCATAAATCCCCCGTTCTTAGCGAGTTGCCTACCTAAACTATATCTCGCTTCTGCCGATCCGCCTGGGGTGCACTTCACCGAGCCATGGGATGGGGTGCTTGCTTGCGCATATGTAGCCATGTGATAGAGCGTGCACAGCTTCCTATTTGGGCCGCGGCACTACGGTATGGGGGATATATGCAGCGCGGCAAATCCTTTCCCTTATGCGCGACACACGGATGGGGCCGTTTTTTTGTTGCTGCGCAGACGTTGCGTTGTTGCGACCTGCGGGAACGAGGTCGTTGCTCCGTTCTGTAAAGCCACAGACCGTTGCTTGTTTCGAGATCGGATCGTGGCGATCGCTCGGCTTCGTTCGCCTGAAGGCCTTGCGCAGGGTTTTTCCCTTGTGACGAGAGGCTAAGCTAACTGTGTGGGCTTGCGTTCTCTTCTACATAGGGAATGGCCTAGTCAAATACACAGCGGGTATCTTAGATGATCGTGGAGAAAAAAGAAAAAAAATCTGGAAGGTGTTTGCTACCGTAGGGCGGACCCTTGTTTGCTTTCCTTGTTGGGTTAGGATACCGCGGTGAGGACGGCGATGGTGACCGTTACCCCAGATTTGGTATGGAAGCACGTGGTAGTATGGTATATCTCTGTTGTGCTTCCTCGTACAGTCTTCTTATCGATTTGTTATGTGATCTCAGTGAGTGACTGATCTTGGGCTTGCCCTCTGGGCCAATTTCTTTTCTAGGCCCTATGTGTGACTTTCGTTGTGCCTCTCATTTCAATACTCACATCGACCCCGATCGTTCGTAGACCATGACGCCTAATGACGATCGTGGCCCCGAGCTGGCTGTCATAGTGGCGGTTTTCCTCGGGCTGTCGTCCGTCACGGTAGCTCTTCGCTGCTACGTCCGGGTTCACATTTTGAGGGCGTTCCAGGTTGAGGACTGGTTGGCTGTTGCTTCAATGGTAAATCGGCGATAACCAGGGAAGATGATGGATATATCGTTACTAACAAGCCTAGCTTTGCTTCGTATTCTATTCTACGGCCGTCATGCTTAGTATTTCGCACGGGGCGGGCAAGCATGTGAACGATGTTCCTACCGAGAACATCCCCAAAATTCTCAAGGTAATTTGTCGAGTGTGTAAGAGAAGAGATTGTAGACTCATGGCTAATCAACTGCGATAGATGAGATGGGCGGGAGAAATAATATACGTCGTGACGTCGCTCTTCCTAAAGTTGACCGTTGGAATATTCCTCTTTCGCATATGCTCGCAGGGGTGGCAGAAATCGGTTATTTACACCGTGCTACCTTTATATCTCGTCTACCACATCTTTTACGCCTTCGTGGCCGCGTTCCAATGTCAGCCGGTGGCGTATTTCTGGTTCAGATACACCGGCGGCATGGAGGGTAAATGCTGGAGCAACGATATGGTTATGGGCTGTACGTACGCGGCTGCTAGTATCAACGCTGTTACGGATTGGGTCCTTGGGTTGCTACCCATTGCGATTGTGCGGAATCTTGAACTGTCGAAGAGGTCGAAGATCATGGTTTCTTGCACTTTAGCACTCGGGTCGGTGTATGTTACTTACCCCTTCCCCTATCCTCCCTACGTAGGTCGTAAGAACAGGGTCGCTAATAAAGACGTCCAGCGCATCAACCGCGACCATCGTCCGCATCCCCTATATCTGGCAACTAACCCAACCCGGCGATTTCATACATGACTTCACCGACCTGTCTATCTGGTCTACTATAGAAAACGGACTCGGCCTCGTCGCATCGTCGATCGCTACTCTCCGGCCCCTAGTCAGAGCGGTGCTCGGGGGCACGCGAGGAGGAACGGCGTCACGGGGACGCCGCTCTTTTTACTCGTGGAGGAGATCGGGGCCGGGCGCAGCGCAGAACGGCAATCAGCAGCAGTACTATAGGATGGAGAATTACTACCGCGATAGCGCTTGCAAGGCACCGGAGCGGGTCAGAGTAAGTGATAGAAAAGTGTCTGATACCTACCGGATAGATGCTGGCGTAAGGTAGAAAATGAATAAATTCGAATTAACGTATAGAGATTGTCTTGTGTGATTCTTGAGATGGTGGCTACCTATGCTAAAGGGTCTCTACGTGTGCTGTTAAAAGCAAGTAATCCTAATCACGATGCGATGAGTAGGTATTCTTTGGTATAGAAATACGTAGATATGTGAGTAATGTCCTGATATATACGGAGAAATATCGAAACAGTTTGTCGTGAACTAAGACTCCTTCAAGTCGTCTTAGGCTATATACAGTATACAGTCTTGGTAAAGCAGTCCGATTTGATAATTTGTTAGAATTAGATTCTAAGTTAGATATCCAAAACTACCTAATAAATCATCATCCCTACTAGTTAGAGGCTTAATTTAAGCTGTCCTGCTTGGGATAGCCTGGCATATATAGACCCTGTTTCCTTATACTGAGAGTTACATACATGATGTATTCGTGTATTGTCCAAAGGGAATATAAGTACCCATGTACCCAAGCGAAGCTATTCCGGGCTAATTCCCCACCCACCTTCGAGATCTAACTGGCTTAGGATGATGCTACGTGACCAACGAACGGACTTAGTATATAATGGTACATAACAATCAAAATTTCAACAACCAATGGGGCGTGGTGGCAGAGTGGTCTAATGCGCAAGACTAGAAATCTTGTTCCTTCGGGAGCGTCTGTTCGAATCAGGCCCACGTCGCAACATTTATCTTTTTGTCAATTTTGGCGTAACTACCGACTCTTTTTTGTCGGCCTTGGTTCAGACGAAGTTGTTTTATGCGAGAATTGTCCCGTTCGCTCGAACCAACAACACTTACTTAAGCAACCGTATAACTAGACTTTCTTTTTTACTTTTAACAAAACTCTTAAGCAGGTACCGACACGGCAGATCCTCGGCTCGCATATAAGCTTTCACGCAGGTACCCGCAAAGCGTCCTCGATATTGAAAGCAGTAACAAAGTCACATTGGAAGTTTCCTAACCCGCCCACCCATTCTGGTTCTTTCCTCCCCGGCGCCGTATTCCCCATACCCGCAGACGATGTAATGGTCCCAGTCCCTGCACCGCCGAGCACCTCCGCCCTTTCCCCTTCCATTCCGGCTTCTAATCCCGCCCCCAACCCGGACGTCGACGGCAATGGCTATCAAGAAGCGCTAGACAGGCTGCAGCCCCTGCAGCCCATCCTCCGGGGCTTCAACCACCGCAACCGGAACCAGCACCGCCGCGCCGCCTGGTGGGCTCCGTTCGGCATGCTACGGCGCCACGTCGACAAGGTAGTCGACGAGCTACTCGAGGCCGCCGATGCCGCTGCCGCCGCCGCTAAGTCAAAGAGCAAAAAGCGACGGCGTGACGACGGCGGCGGCGCGGAGAGGAAGGTAAAGGGTCACGTGGAGTGGTTGAGGGATATCCTAGTTCCAAAATGTTACTTGTAAGGTTTTATTTACTTTTTCCAACCGCCGTGAAAAAAAAAAAGCTGGATACCTACCTATACCTATACCTATATATACCTATATCCTTCGCTAACGAAACCCCCCCCAACCCCCAGGGCGTTCTCACAACTAACAGCAGACAACCAATTCGCAACGCTAGGCGTCGTGCTTCTCGGCGCGTTGGCCCAGGTCAACGCCGCCTGCGCACATCTAGTAGCGGGCGAAGCAGCAGCGGCGGAAGTAAGCCGTGGCCAAAAAACTGGCAGCATATCCACCGCGGAGGATAATAAGCCTGTAGATAATAGCGGTGCCGCCGCGGTACGTCTGAAAGAACCCACCAGCGCTCAGGGAGTTAAGAAGGAGCCGCCCCCCTCCCGGCCCGTTTTGACATTAACGTCCGGCGAGCGCGGGGGCTCGGTAATCTCGCGGGACGAGGTCGCGCGGGCCGAGAAGCTGCGGAAGAAGAACGGATCTTCTGATATACCCAGCAATGCGAAGCGGGGCCAGGACCACGGCAATGGCGCCGGGGTTGTAAAGAAACAGCAGGAGGATACATCTTCGAAGACGAAGACTAAGGAGAGTGTAAAACCCGCGAAGAAAAAGAAGACCAAGAAAGGCGGCGACGAGTTTGACGATCTATTCAAGGGCCTATTTTAAGCTAGGGGTAGGACATCGTGTCCCATTAATAAAACACGTACACCTTAATCACACAATCCCCCTACCCCAAGGAATAGATTACATCTTCAACAGTTAATAGTCGTTGATTGGATTTAGCATTTGGTTCTGCATTGCTATCAAAAACCTGTCTTGCAATACACCTGTGACAGGGGACTGCCACCACTGCCGCGGACCACCTGATATTAGAAACCCGGCCCCTCCCCGCTTTCGAAGCCTCGCCCAAGCCAACAAGAGACCAACTACAAACTTTTTCTTTGCCTCATCCTCTCCAAGTTGTATGAGTTGTTATCCACACCTTCGCACATCGTCTAAGGAAGCGTGTAGCCTTCGCTTTAAACACAAAAGACTTCTAAGATCCTAAGACCGGCATCAACTCCAGGTCCGGCGTAATAGAGCCGTCTTCTCTCCTAAACCCCTTCGTACTAACTAAATACGTAACCCATCTTCTCAAACCTATGTACCCATCACCTCCACGAGCGGGAGTGAGTAGATTATTTCCTAGTTGTTTCTTGGGCTAGACGCTTAAGCCGCTCCACAAGTCTGTTTCCCTAGGATATCGAACGGTAAGACCAGATACGCGCCCTCATGTCGCCAGAGCCAGTTGCAAAGTAGCCACCTGTGGGGCTAGGAGCCACCGAGATGACTGAGTTCTTGTGACCTTGAAGCATGAGTTGAGTAAACCCGGTTCGGGGGTCCCAGAACTGTACACCTCTATCCTTAGAACCAGACATAACCCAGTTGGCATCGGGCGTGAGCGCCACGCTAAGTACGAAATCCTAATCTTGTGAGCATTGAAAAATACGAGAAAACATTGGAAAAACTTACCCTGTGCCCTTCAAACGTCTTGACGCATCGGCCCCCCTTGGGGCCCGGATTCTGTACCCCTCCTCTGGGGGTTGATAACTCCCACATCTTGATAGTCTTATCTAGACTCCCGCTTACTAGATCCTTGCCATTAGGGGAGAATGCCACAGAGTAAACACTGTCCTTGTGGCCCTCCGGCCCTTCGAGCCGCTCCAGGAGGTATCCTTGATGAATGTCCCAAACACGGACGCTCTTATCAAGCGAACCCGCAGCAACATACTTCGTATCAGGGGAGATAGCAACGGTCGTAACGCCATCTTCAATAGAAAGAGTTAGCATGTTTGTGCCCTGTTCGATATCCCACAGTCGAACAGTCCTATCGCCACTACCAGAAGCTATAGTTCGTCCATCTCGAGCAAAGTCCAACGAGTAGATGTCTTGTTCGTGACCAGCAAAAGTATTACGGATCGTGCGAGCGGCGATATCCCAGACCTATTCTAATTAGTAAGGTACAGGGGAACTTGGGCGATCAACTTACGCGAATGAGCTTGTCCTCGGCACCAGTAGCTAAATACTTGCCATCGGGGCTGAAGCAAACACTACGGATGTATAAATCCCCGCTAATGTCAACATTCTCATCCTGGAGAACGCATACCTTCTCACCGGTTGCGACGTCGTAAATTTGGGCGGATCTATTGCAACCAGTTGCCACATACTTGCCGTCATGGCTGAACCTCACGCAGCACACAACGCTCTCGTGGTTTAGTGTGTGGACTAGATCGACATCGAGCATGCGCGGAACGTGTTGGTTGAAGATCACAAACCAATCGTCTCGAGTCTTCTTAACGTGGGCCGGGAGACGTTCGACATCTAAATCACCAAGAGCGTTGTTGACCATCGGGCCAGGATGAGGTGGCAGAGCTCTATGGTCCGGTGTCGGATGGTTTGCTACTTGCGGCGAGGCTCCGGGCCCAGCATAGGGCATCGGGGTGTTGATCTGAGGAGTGGCAGGGCCACCGGCGGGCGGTCTACCGATGCCGCGCTTGCCTGGCCCGGGTGAAGCAGTGCTCTGGGGAGGCTGCCCAGGGAAACCGCCGGGAGCCGGGCCCTGGTAAGGCTGCTGAAAGGGGGGCTGTTGCGCGGGTGGGGGTGGAGGCGGAGGTGGACCTTGCAAACCCGGGGGCGGCTGTGGCATTTGATGCTGAGGTCCGGGAGGGGCCTGATCCTGCGGGTTGGGTTGGGGTGGTAGACCACCGCCTTGGCCTCCCTGACCGGTCATTATTCCGCTGAATAGATTATTACCCATGCCGATTGAAGGAGGGGGAGGACCCGCAGACGGACCGCCATGTTGAGGCGGACCAGGTATAGTGGGTTGAGGAGCACCTCCTCGCGCGGCCTCGAGTTGGCGGCGAAGTAAAACCATCTCCTCTTCGTATCTATACGTAGGAAGTTAGCAGGTTAGCTTCAAGATTCAGAGGCCGTAGCAACAAATGCTTACTTTGCTTTTATATTAATATGCTGCTGCTCCAATTGATAAACCTTCTCACGAATGAGTTGGGCCTCTTGAACCTGTTGTTGGACTATTGGGTAGTTAGTGACACGATCTCGGTCAAATGCGAAGCAGAAAAGCGCGTTTCTTCATCATGGTGAAAATGTATATAATTATCCGTTAAGACCAGACTAGGCTTAACCAGTAAAATGTATACACTCATCTAATCTCTAATGGTAGTTTGTTTCTCGACTTACTCTGTTGCTCATAACCTTCGTTGATTCGGACTTGGTTATCAAACTCGGTGCGAATCTGGTCGAGGAGTTCGTTCAAACGCCCCGTATTTTGCGGCATGCCGCGGTGCGGATACATAGACATTGTCGGATATGGTATCGTTGCGCGGACGACCTATCTCGGAATTGGGGTGTAAAAATTAAAACCAAACAAGGCTGCGGAATTGCGATATCACGATTTCTAAGTGATAATGACGGTAAACGGTAAACGATGGATAGAAAGGTCGCAGATAGTTTGATATCTTATGCAGGGTCCCTCCAACTCCTATTCAACTTGGCACAACGAGGGAACACCCTTTCACACGACCCAATTGCAACGCGAACAAGACGAGATGAAACTTGGCAGGGTCTCGTTAGATAACAGTGCGTATAGTCGTGTGAAGGAACGCGAGGATCGAAGTTGGCAGTAGAAAGTGGTAGACGCGCAATCGTGTATTAGTCGTTGTTCAGCTGGTAACAACTAGGTAGATGATTGCTGTTATGAGGCGATATTGATGAGGCTAGAAATGAGGCGTTGGTGTTGAGAAAGCAGAAAAAAAAAACAGTTGAAAAAAAGGGAAGGGGATGGTAGAGAAGAGGAGACGAGACCCAAGGTTGGTAGGTAATACTCAGATTTGTTTGACCAGGGCTCGGGGGCTAGGCACGAGCTGGATTGGAACTACCTGTGTATGACCTGTAAAAGAAGTACTTCCTATGTATGATGGCTGGTGGGTTCGGGCGACGGATCCATGCGACTATGGGATGTGGTAGTATGCATGCACGGATTGTGAGGTTGTTGCAAGGGTGTAGGGCAAGCAATGCTGCTGCTGCTGCAGAGACCATTTATGTACAAAATCCACTACGGTACTACGTCGCAGGTTCCTTAGTTTCGTGCTTATGTACATATGTGAACTTTCCTTTTTTTTTTCGACTTAACCCACAGAGAATAAACAGAATCTTACCTATTTTGGTACAGTCCTGTTTTTTAAGCAGACGCCGGGTTAAGGCTGCGTGCATTGAGAGTGGGGCCACGGGGGATCCATTGGCAAGCAGAAGAGGGAATGGGAAAACACGCCCCCTGGGTACGCGCCGATGAAGTAACTGCGTATTTTATGTATTATGTATTTGCTACTAGCGTAGGTACATATCCCGGCACAACACGCGGGCGCTCGTATGGAAGTTTGTGGAAATCGCGATTTCACGGAGTATATGGGGCATGCAAGCAGCTAAGCTAGGTACCTAGGTAGGTACGCAGATGGCACCCCCACTTGGGCCAAGAGTTGGTCAGCGCTGTGGGTTAGGTAGGTACGCTAGAAACGCTAGTAGCATACAAGGTACTAACCTAATACATCAATACATGTAATGCAAATGTTAGCCAAGGCTTACCTTATCTTTTTTTTTCTTCTCTTTCTTCACGATATGCAATGCAGAAGTACGAAGGCAACTCTGTTTTTTCTTTTCCATGTATAAACAACGTGTTGCATCGCATCAGCGCCTCCTTTTTTTCGTGCTCCCGCTACGTGTCTGCACAAGTACATAATCTGCAACCTTGCCAAACTTGCCACAATGCAGATTGAGGTCGCACAGAGCGAGCGCAGACTACCGTATTATGTACATACTTCCTACTATTCCCAGGTTGGGTGACAGGGGAGCAGTAGTGTAGGGAGCGAGCCAGCAATAGATTCAGCTCGGGTAGGCAGGTAGGGAAGAATGTTTGAATGTGTGGAGGCATCCCGGTCTACAAACGGCCGCCGTGAATCCAACTTACATATATTCGAACCAAGTGCCTTGACACTTTGGGAGCGTTTCGGTTATTTAGTGTAGGTGTGACCATCTGGCCCCCACCTATACCTTTCAACATATATATACCTGATCTTAAGGCGGAATTACAGCGATGCTACTGTGACAAGTGGGTAACGTTAAAAGCACGTAGTTTATTAAGTGATTAAACATTCACGCTTTGGTTGCTGAATTAGGTAGTTAGGACTTGAGCTGTTGTTAATGGGCTGTGAGTGATTAACGGATAGCAGTTCTACATACTCAAAGTGAAGGCCAAGATGTCAGCTTTTAGATACTTGACAGGCTTACACAAAGACTGCTACCCGCGTAATTATGCGCATAGAAATGCAAGTGATGTTGTTGAGTCAGATAACTAGACCAGGTCGAAATTTCAGCGTAATATCGGACCTAGGTAAATATTATGTTAGTTACCTAGGTAGGTAGATATGTATGGCATCGCCACCTATATTTAGCATATGTTAGAAACAACGCTCTAAACTTACCATCTGCAACTAGCACACTCAGTTTACTTATTTTCGTATTGGCGACAATATATTCTAATTGTTATCGCCGGTATTAAAGGTTGTTAGAGGTTTCATCCTAGATTAGTGCAACATTGACAGTGCTTCATTAAAGAAAACCCCGAGCCTCACCGGTTCAATATTCCTTCCTTCCATCAAGCCAATGGGCGTTGACTTGATAGATACGTACCGGGACATGTACAGATCAAGTATCTACACTCGGATGTTACCGCCGTTTCGGAGATAGACTAGCACCGGCTATACGGCAGGGGCGGGTATAGCCAGTACCTGTCTCGGCTGTCTCCAATAATAGGTAAGCTACCTAACTCCACACTGGAACCAACCGTGAAACAAAGTTCAACCGGTTCATCACTCGCCTTGTCAAATGGGGGAACTTGGTTCGGCAAAAATGATTTGTACATAGGAAAATCTCGCTTATTCGGGTAGGAAAAAAAAACACGTACCTACATACATAGATGGACGTTTCCGTCATTTCAGTTTGGCTCATGCTTATGTAACTATATACTGCTTCCATCTTGCTTCTGTTCCGAGTAGGAATACCTATACTCTGACCACTTATTTCACCGCTCAAAGCCACCGAGATATAACTTTTCTTTATCTTTTTTTACTAGGTTAACCTATGTTCATAAATAAACACCGTACGGGATATAAGCTTCCATATCGCAAACGACAGCATCGTAAGCAGTTTGCGCGCTTGTAAGAAGCCCGCATTGTATAGTTACGCACATACGTTACGTCGTGGCCGACATCGTCTGTGTGAACTAGAAACACACGATCCGGGCCCCCGACCTCGCTGTTTATAATTATTTAGAGTTTAGGCATGTAACTCCTGTTAAAATCTATTCGGCGTTGTTTATTTCTTAGTTTAGAACTAAATGGTATTGGAAACGTTCAGTTGTTATGTAACTACCTAGATGATATTGTAAAACTTAGACCTTAACCATAACGAGGACCTGTTATGTATATCCTCAGGTATGATTAGACTGGCCAACTCGATGCTTACATTGCCGGGAGAGGTTATAAAATCAACAAGCGTGTAAAGCTCTACTACTTGACATGTAACCCTTTTAGACCTGCGGTATTACACATGCTCGTAAGATGGATATATATCCTAGACACCTTAACCCCAGATTGCTCACCTACATACACCAGGTGTGTATGTGAAATATACCCAATCCCGGCCATAACAACGCATAGACGAAATCTGTTTTCTCCATACTCTGCATAGTCACATTTCCGGACGTTCATCTAGTGTTCCTCCCTGATGCTGACAATGCACTATGCATGCCAGCTAACATCTTACTCCTGCAGTGTTAAATGCCTTGCATGTAATACCCGGGTAGATGGCTGAGTTAACGCCTCCTATTATATGCCTACCAACATACGGGGTAGTCCGCAATCCTTCTACGCCACGTACGTCTACCCGCCAATACCTTCCAGCCTGATGCGTGGTCTTGCGGCTATTGACATCTGCTGTCAACTTGGTTTGCCTATTTCCCCACCTCCAACCGATGAGAAAGGTGTACCACCTATGGTTAGAAACGGTTTGATTCCTGAGTCAGCCGCCACATCGACCCCGTACTACTCTCAATCTCAGTATTTTTCAGCAACCGCCACTAGCTAGGAATTTCAACACCTATAGTAGAAACTGGGTGTCGAGCTCCCGTATACTCCGATAGAGATAACACCTGTTGACCATAACAACCCCTTAAACTCATAGATGATCATCTAACTATTGGTTTAGACTTAGTAGAAAACGGCTCTTACAGCAAGGCTCCGGCTCGGCCCATGCATGTGTAACTCGGCTTGAAAATAGCCCGTCTTATAAGGCGTATGGAAGGCAGCATCGAAATTGGCATCAGAATGACTCATAGTGCTTTCTATTTCTCGAAATGCGAACCAGTTATGGGATAAGTGTGTTGCAACCGAAAGAGTCTGTTTGGTTTAAACGATGATAGGCCTTAGTTGGCTAGAGGATTACTCTATAGCGAGCGCACCTTGGGAGATAAACCTTTCAAACACCATCCCAAAATCAAAATAACTAAGTACCTAGTTAACTGATATTTGGGATCTTTACCTTTATATATAGACATATGAGAAGCCCTGCTTGCCTTGGATCTTGTGGCGTATTATTCGCCCCTATCGAAAATTGCAAGCACAACGGCAATGTCATTAAGATATATGTCGTAGCCTGCGCATTATCCTTCAGGTCCGGCGGAAGCCTGCGTCCAGAAGAAGAAGCTCATATTGAAACATTCGTATTAAACCCGTGAAAAGAGGTGTCGAGGCGTAGATTCCTTGAGGCCTGAGGAGGATCGAGTCAATATCTCGGCATGATCCCTCAGTCCCCATTCGCTCAAAGATATGAACGAAACAGTAGCATGGCAATATGGCCCTCTGTCCGCCCACATTGCGTTTTTTCGTAGTGCTGTCAATATAAATAATGTAAAGTTATATTTCACTATTGCTTCCATCTCTCGACCGACATAGCGAAGGTGATAGTTTTCTGAGCTGAATGTCAGATGCGTTAAGTTCGGATCAACTTTCTGATAGTTACATACATAGCCGGCAAAGTTGAAAGTTAGGATAGGAACTGTTACTAAATCCCCTTGTCGTATGTTACGACGGGCCATAGTGGTCAGTCGGGTGATATCATCGTATGACGGTCGAGGACGAGATGGCTATTGATATTCAGACTGGACCCATGTTGAATTCAAAATTGTATATGTACGTAAATAGGGGCTTGCTAATTTTGAGCCGCGGGCCATAGTATTACAAGTAAACGGCGTGTATTTGTTGTCGTAGTAGCGGTGATTGCATACCCCCTATAATTACATAACTGTCTAACCTACGGATTAGTGTAATTTGATGTTTCGAATTCGGTTGAAACAACGCCAGTAGCTACACGGCCAAACATTTCACTACCTATATTAAGTCTCCACGATTGGAATATTGTTTATTCCGCTTCTCTCTTACTGTCGAAACGAAAAAATGAGAGGAAAGAAGGCAAACCTGAATTAAAACATCTTAGTTATTTGAAATCACCTAACTAGACTCTGTAATGATATCGAAATGTTCAGCAGCTTGTTTATGTACCTGCATCTATGGTCTGTGCTTCACGCTCCATAACCCCCAGAAAAAGCTGAGCGTCAGCTCGTCGTGTTTCATGTTCTTGTTAGAGGACGGGCTACCAAGGAGATCCTTTCATCCTGTTTGGTCAATGAAGCGCTGCTATGTAACATTTCGAAGCATTCTGAGACGCCGATGCTGTAATACTCATGATGGGTTTAATAGATTTCCTTCGCATATATTGTCAATTCGGGAAGATCCTCTGCACGCATTGAGAATCATTCAAGGGTCTCTCTGCTTTGGAGAGCAGCTCCTAGCGACTTGACCCAATCCCATCGTGATTCGTAGATCTCCCCTGACTTTTTGGACAGGGCTGTAAAATGATGTTTTCTTTATTTGTGATTGCCTTGCTCGTTTCAACTTCTTCTCTTCTTGTTTAAACATTTTTGCCTTCTGATTGATGTAAAAGTATTGCCATTCGTTTCTTTGCACCAGGTGTGCCTTTCTATTATTATCGTTATTATTTGTTATTATTAAACCAACATGTCGAAAGCATACCAATCAGTCGCTCTGGACGAAGAGCCTTTTCTTGCCAAGGAAGAAGGGGTAGTAGACGAGCAATGGACGGAGAGCCGAGAAAGCAAATCTATACTGGACCGTCTGGAAAGATTAAGTCCACATTGGGCTTGGTTATGCCATGCCGTTCTATTATCACTTTCTCTAACATTTTTCGCGTTATCATTCTGCTCGAAAGCTTCGAAAATGACAGACGCGGATTATACAGAAAAATACTCTGCCTGGTGTATGTTGAACCGAGACCACGCCGTTTTTGGATCAAATATCTAACAACAGTAATAGCGCCGGCCGCCAGTGCTGTAAAATACGAGACGCAACATTTCGACTTGCCTCCTTTCGCGGAAGGACCCTTCGTTGGTATGGGCGATGATGTGGATAAGGCGTGGGATGATATTTCAGCCAGTACGTTCTAGAAATGATGTCTAAAATTTGAAGGCAAACAAATATCTAACGGAAATTATAGTCGGTGACACGATGATATCTCGCGACGAGATGGTAAAACTAGGTCTAAATCCCGACACTTCCCTTGCCATCACCGACCCGAGAGATGGGAAACCGGGTTATCGGGTCGCAATCGAGGTGTTCCACCAATTGCATTGCTTGAATCTACTGCGACAGAACGTGTATAAAGAATACTATTCACCATTGGGAGGAGATACATCCGATGCGCCTGAAGATCTGACGGGCCATCTTGACCACTGCATCGACGCGCTACGACAATTCGTCATGTGCCAGGGCGACATCGGTGTCTTCAGCTTCCACTATCCGATGGGCGACGAAGACCCGTGGCCGAACTACAGCACGCCGCACACGTGCAGAAATTTTGATAGCATCCGGCAATGGGCTGTCGACCATACAGTTCCGAGGGGGCCTGACGAGCCGGAGCATTGAGATATATTCTCCGAGTAGATTTGTATATAAGTGTAATGACAAGCTATTGAATGAGCGATTTTATTCGCCAAATGATATTATGAAAACCGAGTTGTCGGAGATGGCTTTAAACGGTCGTTTTTCATGTCCTATAATGTGAGACAACTGTCGTAAGCCATAATAAGCCGCATTGTGCGAACGTTGACGTGGCTTTTGGATGGCAGAACTACTTGTTCGTTCATGTTGAATTGAAGAGCGAGTTGTTATTAGAAACTTCGCTCCGTACCTTGGCTGCCTTGATGCTGTATATTGAATGCATTGAATGTAGATGACTTTGCAGAACCGGAGTGATGCCGGCGGTGCAATAACGAGATAGGAGCCACTAACTTAGGATCTTCACGTGCGGATCAGTACGTCAGTACGTAAATACATCGAATACGCAATGCGAATACGAGAGTGGGTCGAAAGAAAAGCCGTTAGGGCAGAATGAAAAGCGGGTCGTCTGCCATTTCCGCCTTATCAGATCGAAAACGATGAGCCGATTTGCACCGTTTTTGCGCCAGTCTCACAGCCCAAAGAGGCCAACAGCCTATTACGTATGGCGAGAGAGTGGAGAAAAGATTAAGTTACCGCTACTCTATTCAGAACCCAGGGTTCTGGAGACCCGGAACCTTGACATTCCAGTGGTGTCATGCATTTGACGAATCAGGAGGCGACTTGCATCGCGGCCATCGACTCCTATTTCCTCCTTTTTTCGGAATATCAAATTTGCTACTTTGTACTGATGACATCTTGAATTTTGACGTCCGAATGGGCCGATGCAAGTCGAAAGATGAAAGACTAAATGGTTCGACGCTAGAGAATAGTTGTAGAGAATAAAAGCAGAACAATTTCCTCGTAAAAGGTTATTCTTTCTTGTGTCACTTACCTTAGGTGTATGTATGTACCTAACATATAAAACTTCGTCTCATTAACCTAAGGGAGTGGTTACCTCACTGCTACCCCCTTTTATTACCTAGCGGCAAAAAGTTTATCGATTTGCGCCTCTAGTCAGGAACGAAGGGACCCACACCATTACCAGCTCCGATTTAGTCCATCTAAAATCCGAGCCCAGTAAAAATTCCCAATCCCCCAATCGAGAATCAAGCCATCCCCACGCCGCGACTCGCGAAATTGCATATCAAAGCCGACCCTGGACCCGTAGGAAGATCAACAAATTTCTCCCTTTTATTTGTTGCCATCGCCCTCTCTTTTGCGGTTCTTCCCAATTCTTGCGCTTCCGTTCTTTGCATTCCGATCGTTTTCAAGATGGATGTCGTGCTTGAAATCGCAGATACCTTCGCGGGAGACTACATTTACTCCCAATTGCTTCCATTACAGCCGGTTGCTCCCCATGATCTTCCAGATGTCGGTACCAACTCCACACAGGTTCTGTCATCATGGCAATTCAAGTCGGCGAACCCTTATTTCCAATTCGAACCCAGCGAATATGCATACATGAGCGCCTGGGATAGAGATAACCCGTATCGCCAAAGCATATCATTATTCTTCATCACATGGTATGTGAACCTTCTCTGCATCGGTTGCCCCGTCTATGACTAGTTAGCGCTAATATGACAATTAAGGATCTTTGGCTTCCTCTTATACTTTCTATTTTCGACCCTATCCTACATCTTTGTCTTCGATAAGAAAACATTCCAGCACCCCAAGTATCTTAAGAACCAGATGCGGCATGAGATCAATCAGACCATGAGGTCGATGCCCATCATGTCGGCCCTGACCGTTCCCTTCTGGCTTGCCGACGTTCGTGGTTATACCAAGCTATACGATACCCCCGCCGATGGACCCGGTATGTGGTACGAGATCTTGCAGTACCCCTTCTTCGTCTTGTTCACCGACGCCTGCATCTACTTGATTCATCGTGGCCTACACCACCCGTTGATTTACAAGCACCTGCACAAGCCTCACCACAAGTGGATCATGCCTACTCCTTACGCTTCCTACGCTTTCCACCCCGTTGACGGCTGGTCGCAATCGCTCCCGTACCACATCTTCCCCATCTTGTTCCCGTTGAATAAGTTTGCGTCTGTTGCCTTCTTCGTCTTCATCAACTTCTGGACCATCATGATCCACGACGGCGAGTATATGGCTAACAGCCCCGTTATCAACGGTGCCGCCTGCCACACGATGCATCATCTGTACTTCAACTACAACTATGGCCAGTATACCACCTTGTGGGATAGGCTCGGCAAGAGTTACCGCAAGCCCGACCCCGACCTATTCCAGAAGGAGAAGAAGATGGGCGAGGCGCAATGGAGGGCGCAGGTCAAGGAGATGGAAAAGATCGTGAAAGAGGTCGAGGGCGAAGACGACCGCAGCTACGATGCCGGAAAGGTCAAGAAGAACAACTAGGCACTTCGATTATTGTTTAGACGCGGTATTTTATCTTCGTCGATGCGCAAGGATCAGCTTTCCGGGGATAACTGGAAAGGGATGCCTTGCCTTTTGCAAAAAAAGAACGAGCGCGATGTTGTGCGATACGGAGATTTAATTAGTGCTAGTTGCACGGCAGAGTATTGTATATAATAGGCAGAATGCTGGGCCTCTAATGATGTGACGGCGTTCGGGATATCTAGAAAAGAGGATTCGGAATCAATTCCATTCCGACTCGAAACTCGAAGCCGAGTTGTGGGCTTCGTAGATGGAAAGAAGAGACGACTCTTGTCCCGTCGCTGCCTCGAAAAATAATGGACTGATGGATATACTACATTATATAATGACCCAAATAAACCTAATGTTTTCTATGAACCTTTTTAGTTTGAATCAATGACGTTGGTTGTACGTGGGTGCGGATTTAGATGCTTGGATGATGCTAGGAATACGCATGGCCGTTATGGTGAGACTTCGGTGTAGCATTAAAGGCTATATTCATGAGAATTTCAGACTTGTACTTCGGTCCGAGGTGGTACTGCTTTAGTAGTTCTATCTTCGTCCTACATACGAGATCGAAAGGGGACTAGGTATGGGATGGACATATGTCACATTTAGCTCTCTTATGGTTTTGAGGATACACAAGGCTAGCTGAGACGCGCATGCATGTGCATATTGATAGACTTCGATATTGTATTGAGATAAGGAAATTGTGATGAGTTGTAGATTTCGAACGATCCATTACCGTCCTCCGTAGCCGTAGACGTACTCCACGGCTACATAGTAAAATGATACAACAGTTTCAACATGAAGCTCCCTTCCCCGTCCTAGGATACACCTGAGCATGCGATACCAATGGCACAATTTAATCGTGCTGGATACCGAGCTACGGATGCTTCTCCTACTACGGTATGAGTATAATACCCCCACTAACGAATAAGTCCACACCCGTAAACGCCGTCGCAAAATGAAAGGAACACACGCGAACGCTCATCGCGATGAATATAGGTCGGTCCGTAGCCCCCATCCCACCTACCATCGGTCCACCTCCAATGTCTACGCTGGCAACCGACCAGCCCAAGACTCCCCACCCGTACTCTCACAAACCTATAAATATACACACACCCAGGTTCTTACACCTATAGGGCAGACACGGTCATCGTAGACCAGCGAGGCCTATAGCCGCACACGCACACGCTCATGAGAAACTGACGAACTTGGGATCCTTGGGCCTCCCATCCGCCGCGATGCCATTTGCGCTGAATCGCTGCTCCATGTAGACCCTGCGCGCCTCGTCGAAGCGCATGCGCCTCTTCTTCATAATCGCAAGAATCTGGGCCTTCGCCTCGTCGTCAAGACCCGCGCGGGCATCGCCCCCTTCTACGTTGGCGCCTAGATCGAAGGTGCTGCTCGACAGACCCGCTTCGATGTCGCCCGCGAATGAGCCGGGGAGCCGCGCGTACAGGTGCGAGCGCCCGGGGAGAATCGGTACCCAGTAATTCCGGGTGAGGTAGAGGATCGTGCCGGTGACGAGCACGAGGAAGGATAGGGAGTAGAGGAGATATGCCATTTTTTCGATTTCGGAGGGGTATTCGTGCGTGAGGATAAATGATATCACAGTGGGCGGATTGAATTGAGGCAGCCGATGGGTGGTGGATTAGAAAGCCACAGTTTCAGAAGTAAAAGGTAGGTTTCGTGGCTGGAAAGTCGAAGAAACACACAGGAAAAGAAACAAGAAAAGGAAGGGAGTGAATGAAGATTGCAATTGCAAAAAAACGAGTTAGAAAAATAGGTAGCTATCGTGATTTTTTCTTACGCGTAGGCCATCGGATGAGATGGTCTTCTCTCGCAGTCGAAAGCAGTCCCAAGTTTGTTAGTGGATTAGTGAAATTGGGGAATGGGGAGAGTGGATCGTAGGGTCCGGCCGTCTTAACCGGACTGACGACAAAACTGCAGGTGGGAAATGCACCTATGGAAACCAATTAGAGCTGAGTGGGTGTTGGAGGCGCAGAGTTGACGAGACATGTGGCTCGTGCGTCTTACGTGTCCCATGTTTGTTTGAAGTGGATAGAGCGTGTACATCAGTACCTATGTTAGGTAATCCGTAGTTAAGTAAATCTACAACATTTCATAGACGCTAATACAGATACGGCTAATTAAGCGACTCCCACACTCGACCATTTGCGCCTGTGAACTTTTCGAAATCGTACAAGGTCGTCACGATAGAGCAGAGCAGAACCTCCGGTCCATTGAAACCTCCCCATTCCCGCGAATCTCACGATCTCGACCTTCATACAAAATGGCCACCAACAACGTCTCCGCAGACCTCATCTGGGAAATTGTCCGTACGTTCTAGGCCTATTCCGCAAGCTCGATCGGCTGGGTTTTTGGGTGGTAGAAGCTGATATTTTATAATTTTGACGTGCACAGGCAAGAACAACTCCTACCTCGTCAAGCGCAAGGAGTCTGGCGGCGTTCAGTTCTCCCGAGACCCTCTTAACTTGACCAACGTCCACAGCCGCAAGGTAAGGGATCTAACTACGATTTTGGAAGTTATGTTTGAAAACCAGGAAGACTTGGCTAACATGGGACTAGCATGCCGGATTCGTGAACCCCAAGGTATGAACATGAGCGATTATATACGACTCGATATTTCAATGAGACTCACGATTGGAACATTAGGCTGTCGGTGTCCAACCCGCGGAGAAGAACGGCGTTAAGGTCATCAGCAAGAAGGAGTCGGCTGCCCAGAAGCCTGCCAAGTCTACCACCGAGGTTACCCACAACGGCGGCCAGTCTACGCGAAAGTCAGTTTCTCCTGGATATATACGTCCCGCCGGTTGATCGCAACCTAGTTTACTAACACGCGCAACTACACAGGATCTACAGGGCCGTTGCCAACAAGACCGCCAAGTCCGGCTACCGACCCGACCTCCGCGAGGCCGCCGTCTCCCGCGTCTCTGCCGTCCGCCAGTCCCAGCGGGAACCCAAGCCCACCCCCGCTTCGAAGCCCCGAGGCTCTAAGGTCAAGAAGGCTCGCGCCGCCGCCGAGTTGTAAGCTCCTTATAGACAAGGAGAGGGAATAGATGGAATAACTACCTAGGTAATGACTACAAAGATAGGGCCGGCCGGTAAATAAGGCATATGCATTTTTGGTAGTCAATCCAAGTTCCACAGGCGTCTGAGGAAATCCTTCAACGAAAAATGCGTCCTTTTTTGTGTGATTCGAGACTTATCTCGCATGCTTTCTTGTCACATATTCCCCAGAGGAAAGGATTGAGACAAGGCACCAGTCTAATCCGGTATGACTACCCGGACAATCCTACCTAAGTAGCCTTGGTGGCCCCCCGGCGGGAGCGGTGTGCGCAGCGACAGCAAACCCGAACTCATACGTGTGTAGTACATGCAGCTATGCGTTGAGTTATTTAACGCCTATATCGTTACATACTAGGTAATATGCGTACGTGTATGTAGCTAAGGTAAGGTACCTTATACCTTATCTTGGCAACCAACTTAGGTTAGGGGGTAAGCCGGAAGACTTCACATTATTTATTAATCACGGGTTGGATTGTCCGTCGGCTAGTCTTTCTCTCGCGAAGCCGTAAAAGAATCAAAAAGCTATTAAAACTTGAATAAAGTCGATTTTAGCCCGTCCGGCCTTGCCCGATACCGAGAAGTGAACCTCGGGAAATGGCGATGATGTATGATGTAAACAGCCACGAGCAATATATGGAAACTCCATTCCGGACAATAGCCTCGGGTTAGAGGAATAAGGGACTGGGTACATAACCTGGTCAAACGTTAGGTAGCTACATACATAAGTAGCTCTGTACACCTAGGAAGAAAAGAACACCCGACGATAGGTCACCTTGAGGGATCACGAATGCTAGTAAGATGTTGAGTAGGTATTTCGCAGTTTCGCAGTTTCGCAGTTAATTCATAGTGTCATCGGACATAGCATATTATGTAGGTATGTAGTCAACCCTAGCAATCAGCTCCGCCGACCTGAGATGCCTAGAATGCCCAGGAAACAAAACTTCCATGCATGTGGTTTCAGCATGTACCCAGGTAGGGTAAGGTAGCTTGCTATTTGCTATACGGCGGAAGAGCTAAAAGAGTTACAAGCTTGCCTGCCGGAAACGTGATTGCGAATAACCAATGAAAGAAGGAATACTGCTTCGAATTCCGAACGTGATTGGTTCCTGCAGGCGCGGGATTATGGTGAATGCTCTCTTGTTTTTGGTGGGATAGTATGAATGCAAGAGGTAGGCATGATCGAGATGGTGGGGTAGCGCCAAACAGCAATAAAGCTAAAGTGGATTCCTCCTTCTACAATTCACGTCCCCTTTCTGCCCCGCCTTCTTGCGTATTAACTCAACTTTGCCCGATTTCATCATCCCGGAAGCTCTACATACATAAAAGCGTAAGGGTACCTCTTCTCATTTTACATCCAGTTCGCTTTTACATTGTCTAAATCTCTCTTCCTTTCGAACTTGCCGACTCTTGCCTGGAGCTGGAGATACTAACACACGTATTCGCTGTCTTAGTCCTTAAATCATTACCCCACCTCAACAACTTATAAATCGCGACCATGGTTAAAGCTGGTATGAAGCACTATGTCCGAACCCAAGTTTAAGGAGCATCAATACTAACAAGCCATTAGTTGTTGCCGGAGCCTCTGGCGGTATTGGCCAGGTTTGTCATTCTTCCTTCTGAATATAATAAAGCAAGAGCCTCGAAGCTAACAAAGCACAGCCCCTATCCCTCCTGCTCAAGCTCTCCCCCCTCATTGACGAGCTTGCCCTCTACGATGTCGTGAACACCCCCGGCGTCGCTACCGACCTCTCCCACATTTCCTCGACTGCTGTGAGCAACCACCCCCAACGTAGCACATGATGATGATCGTAAAGCCTGACACAGTAAATAGAAAGTCACCGGCTACCTGCCCAAGGACGACGGCGGAAAGGCTGCATTCAAGGATGCGGACATCATTGTCATCCCCGCCGGCATTCCCCGTGAGTCTTTAAATATTGCCTCAAAATCGATGTAACATAATAACTCACATAATTATAGGCAAGCCCGGCATGACCCGTGACGACCTCTTCAACATCAATGCTGGAATCGTCAAGGGTCTGATCGAGCTTGCTGCCGAGGTTGCCCCCAAGGCCTTCATCCTCGTCATCTCTAACCCCGTCAACTCCACCGTCCCCATCGCCGCGGAAGTTCTAAAGGCGAAGGGTGTCTTCAACCCCCAGAGACTATTCGGTGTCACCACTCTCGACATCGTCCGTGCCGAGACCTTCGTTGCCGAGATTGCTGGCAAGAAGACCGGCTCTGACCTAATTGTCCCCGTTGTTGGTGGACACTCTGGCGAGACCATCGTCCCTCTCTTCAGCAAGGTCAGCCCTAGCGTGTCAATCCCCGATGACAAGTACGCTGCTCTCGTCACCCGTGTCCAGTTCGGCGGTGACGAGGTTGTCAAGGCCAAGGATGGTGCTGGTTCCGCTACCTTGTCCATGGCTTTCGCCGGATACCGGTAAGATCTATCTTCCTTATCTCTAGGGAGCAAATGCTAACTAACAATGCTCCAGCTTCGCGGAGAAGGTGTTGAAGGCTATCAAGGGAGAGAAGGGCCTCGTCGAGCCCAGCTTTGTCTACCTCAAGGGCATCCCTGGTGGTGAAGAGGTTGCACAGGCCACTGGCCTAGAGTATTTCTCGGCGCCCGTTGAACTCGGAGTACGTACTCCCTCAGTCTTATTGGTAAAATTATGCTGACCGTCCTATAGCCCAACGGTGCCGAAAAGATCATCAACCCTCTTGATGGCATTACCGAGAAGGAGAAGTCTCTGGTGGACGTCGCCATCCAAGGCCTAAAGACCAACATCGAGAAGGGCATCAGCTTCGCTCACAACCCCCCTCAAAAGTAATTACCCCCTTAATTTACCCCCGGATGAATTTGCCTCGCTCATGGAGCCTGGTGAGGCTGCTATGTAATGTGTTTACCACATGAACATCTTGCCCACGGGTTTGGCGTGTTTAATAGAAAAAGTTAAACCAGACAGTTGAGCGATAATTGAGATCGAGTAGCTGATCCTATCTGATTGCATAGGTTGTAAGAGTGACGTAGTCGTCCTGATTAGAGCCAGTCCATGTCTCTCCATCGTGTCCAGCCAAGTCCGTTTTAAGAAATTCTGGAGGGATTTCGGGAATTAATACCGGTATAGGGGGCTCGTCTAGAGAGGTACTCGCTAGGGGGGCTGAATAAGGTTGTGTTTTCTGTTGGCGGGATAGGGCGGAAGGGGTGAAATGGAGGGTGTATTAGGTACGGGGTGGAACTCTGCGATGCTTAACTTAGAAACATCATTGGTAGATATCAACAACAGTAACAGACCAAACACCTAAACGCCGTTACTTCTAAATGCTAGATCCCACCCTGCCTTTCCTTTCCTTCCTCTTTTCCTTCCTCTTACGCCGCCGCGCCTCTAAAATTCCGGTATGATGGATCCTGCCATGCATGTCTTACGTGGATGTTCCGCGCGCCAGGAGATAATTCCGCCATGTAGTAAGTACCTAGGCAGATGATACATACGTAGTCTAGGTAGGTTGGTTAGGTTAAGTCAGGTGACGAGACCTCATTGCTTGGCAGGCACCGTCTTGATCTGGAAGACGGCGCCGGGAAGCTCGTTGGTCTCGGCCTGGACGGTGGCGGCGATGCCCATGGCGGCGAGGGCGCCGCGGATGATGCCGCAGGGGAACCAAAGGAACTAGTGGTGTGTTAGAAGGGAGTTTCGTCTGGAGATGTAGATGATGTAGATGGGTGGACGGGTGATAGGACGAGGAGGATATATAGGGGGTAAGAGACGAAAGCGAGGTGTCAAGGGAAGGAGAAGGGCTAGGTTAAAGGGGGATAGAGTAGGTAGGTAAGTAGGTAGATAGGTAGGTAGATTAAATACTCACAGGCTGGGCCCTCACGACGGCGTGGCCGCCGGCATCGGCGCTCATACGCGAAAGGGGGCGGAAGGCGTTGTCGGTTAGGACGTAGACGCCGCGGTGGTTGGTCTTGAGGTTGTCGACTTGCTTCTTGAAGACCAGCATCCACAGGTCCTTGCATATGAACTTTATGGCGTCGAGGGTGTCGTTGAAGCGTGGGCGGTCGCGGGAGAAGCTGCGGGGGAGGGGGAAGTTAGTATGATGTATGTAAGAAATATATATGTATGTATGTATGTATGTATGTATGTATATATGTATGGTAAGGGGGATGGGATGGGATGGTGGTGTAAGTGTAGAGGGTATGTATAGAAGATAGTATGATATAGTACGATATAGTACGATATAGTACGACGAAAAAAAGGGAGGAGACGAACCGCTCGACAAGCCCCAACCCAACTCTATACCCCAATCCATCCAACCTAAAGAAAACCGCATCCCTCTCCTCGTCCTCGTCCAACTTCTGCCTCCCCGTCCCCGTCTCCCCGCCACCATTTTCCCCATCAGCAGCAGAAGCGCCGGGCTGCTGCTCCGGCGCATCCAGCTCGTTCGCGACGCGGTACGCCATGGGCACCAGCTCGATCATCAGGAAGTCCAGGCACGACGTGCTTAGGAACGAGGCGCTCGGGTCCGAGGCGTTGAAGGGCGGGAGGGGCTGGTCGAAGGACGACATGATGGTGGACTTTCTTTTCTTTCCTTCCTTCCTTATTTTGTTTTTGATCTTATTCTCTTCCCCTTATTACTATACTACTACTACTGCTGCTGCTGCTTTCTGCTCTTTGCAATGCAACGTGTGCTGGGATTCTTATAAAACAGTAATGGTAGGTAGTTGTTCTCGTTATTATATCCTCTTTTCCTCGATATATATGTACTACTACGCTCTTGCGTCTCGTTTCCCGGGAGGACTCGCGGTATAGGTACGAGTAGCAGTAAAGGTAGCCGTAAGGTACGTAATAAACTGTAGATGCTTGCAGCGTTCGAGATGCGATCTTCCGCGGCGCATTGGTGGTTTGACAGTGGAAAGGCGGTTAGGCTGTCGTCGCATGAACAGTATGTTCTAGTATTGTGTAGAGCGTTGTTATCATCCGTCGTGACTTGGCTATTGCTTCGTGGTACGTAGAGGAGTTGATCGTATGAGGTAGCTTAGAAGCTCGAGGCTGAGAATACGTAGAGGTTAAGAATAGTGGGACGGACAGGCCTAAAGCTAGTGTACCTCAAGGCTCGGTTATATGCATAAACCACCATGTGTATTGATTTAAACATCACAACCTGTCATTACACAGCGAAGAGTTAACAGTTAACTCGCCGCCAGAACATTGCAATTCACCGGGTTTTTATTATTCACTTTTAAACGAGACTACTGGTAAAGACCTATAGTCCACCGAGTTCAAACGATTCGCCCTGGTCCTCTCGATCGCAACTCCAGCCATATGTAGCCTCCATAAAGCAATAGGTATTTCCACCCCTAACGCCGAGGTGACCATCCCTTCCTGCCCCTATCATACCCGTGCCTCGCTCGCACAAGGGGATGATCGCATTCTATGTACAGAGAGAACTAGGGACGGAGAGGCGAAAAAATAAAATAAAAGGCTCCGTATCGAACTTCCGATAATGTCGGATTCCATGCCGCAAGATATTGCTTTTCATGAAAACGTCGTAATATCCGTCGTGGAAACCACTCTCGCCCACTTTGCGTAAGAATTACCGATGCCCTATTGTTAACCAACTTCCTAGTCCCGTAGGAGTACCTTCATCCACTCTTTTACGAAGTCCATTGTCTGGTGTTGTAAAAAATCCACTGTGTCGCGCGGCTGTGGCGCGCAGGACGTATATTGCTAATAGCTGAACGCCGAATGAAAGTCCAGACCATTAGTCGGTCCTAGGTTTTGACGTTTTGGAGGGCGAACAATAGGCTCGTCATCCTCATCGCTACTGAGGGTAAGATCAATAACCTCTGCCGGCCGCTTACTGCTTCCCGACCTTTGCGTATTCGGCGTCTCTCGACGGCCGCCGTTGGGCGTTCCGCCACCAAGCAAAGAGCGACTCGGTGTGCTCATTGCATTTCTCATACTGCCCATTGGCCCACCTGGATTGCCGTTGCCAAAAGCGTGGGTGTCGGAAAGAATCGATATATCATCATCGTCATCATCATCCTCTATCTTGGCGCCGTTAGGGGGCCGAGATCGGGTCGGTTCCGGCTCTTCCGACTTCACTCTCCATTGACCGTCTGGCTCAATGGTGACCTGTTCGCACGACTCGGGAGTGTTCTCCAAGACCTCCTGTACGTACTCGTCTATCGCTAGAGTCTCAAACGGCGCAGATTTGGAGCAGATTGGACAGCTCCAAGTCGGACCCTGTTCTTGGAGCTGTATGAACGAATTCGCGTCAAAACACTGGATATGGTTACAAGCCGTTCCTCGGCAGGGAACCTTTAATCTTGCATAACTAAGCGGACACTTCAGAGACAGGTTTTGGGAAGTTGCTACAACATCTGGATCGTTGGCTTTCTTGGAGACTAGAGGTCTATTAGCGTGCGACTTTATATTAGAGGTGCATCGTGCCCTACTCTCGCGAATAACCGAAGTTTTGGATATCTTCTTCGCCTTGATTCTCGTAACCAATTCATCGATTGGATGTGTTTTGCATACATATAGCGCTAGGTAGAACTTCTATTTCAACGCTGTTAGCAAGGGATATGGAATAAATAGAAGTGCCACTTGGTGCCTAGGGGTCGACTCACTTGAGTCGCTTTCAAAGCTTTAGGCTTCCGTACCTTAGTTGTCAGAGCATACGTAAACTCGACTTTGTTAGTATAGTTGGCCTGCTTCAGTCTTAGAAAGGGGGTAATATCAACCGGATGGGTTGATCCCGGTTTATTCTTGAGGCCTCGAAGATTATGTTTCACGTCATCATCATTCACCTTGACCTCGGACTGGTGAGGGAACTGGATATCCTGAAGGCCTGTACTTTCGCTTCCGCAGAATACCATGAGCTTAGTAGATGAGTAAATCGCGCATCGCCCAAGATCGGGGTAGTCGCTAGCCTTCAAGGTTACGGTGATGGAATTTCGGTGGTTGCTCATAACTAAGAGGGAAATGTCAGCCGAGTTATAATAAGAGAGCTATAGATGTCTTATAGGAGCACCCTACCAGGACACGTGTGAAGCGGGCCTATCCTCTTTTCGATAGTGTAGAAGGGCGTATTTTTGAAGACGTTGTCTGAATGGGGTGCTCTAGGAGTAATAGGATACCCAGCGCCATTTCCGACAACGCTGGCGCCGTTGTTGTAGCTGTGACTCGGTTGGGGCATACTGGAACCTGCTGGTTGGTATGAGCCATACGAGCTATAGTAGGGATTGCGACTCTGAGGCTGTACGCCCAAATTGGACGGAGGAGCCATACTCTGTGGACCAGAGTTTCCTCCTCGGATGTTCATTATCGTCTCGCGTATCGCGTTGTAGTTCGCGGGGTCGGACTGGTAGTTTTCATGGAGCGCTACAAGGTACGTGTTAGTTATCGGTCGAGTATATCGTCCGGAGATGCAGAAATGGTTAGAGAAGGAAGATTAGGTAGAAGTGAAGAAGCGAAGAAGTGAAGAAATGAAGAAGTGAAGAAGTGAAGAAGGAGACGGCGATGGGGGGTTCTGGACAGTAAATGTGAAACTTTCTATGGGAAAGTTGGCGATATACGAGAACAATGAATCTCATCTATGTTGCTGCTGCTGCTGCCTTGAGCCGTGTCATCTTCGCATATTCGCATCTTCTCATCTTCTCATCTTCTCATCTTTACATCTTTTTTACTAACCATTCTTGATGCGATTCTGTAAATCGGCCTTGACCCCACTTGTTCTCAATCCATGGGATGAGCAGATGTGTTGTAACTGTTTATTAAGCAAAGTGGATATGATTCGTTCGAGGGATCGAATATCGGCGTTGTTAGAGGACATGATTGCTACCTCCGTCTCGCAAGGCAGTTAAGGCAGTCGCGGTTGCAGTTGCACGTTGTCCAAACGAGACGCCTCATGAGGAAGGCTCGAACGTGCGCTAAAGAAGTACCAAAATTCCCTGTAAGGCTGGCCCAAGCAGCCCGAGTCCCTATAGTCCCCTATGTAACGTACTGCCGATTTCTTACCCACGACAAATCGCGCCCGCGACTCAACCAACTCCTACGCTAGGTACCTAATTCGAGCTTCGTCCAAAATCGATAAGCCAATAAGTCGGTATTTCTAACCTAAGAATTGTTAATTGCTATTCCAATTATAAACAAAACTGGGTCGGGCTAGGTTGGTTTAGCCATTGAAATATTGTAGAGGAGTAGAGGAGTAGAGGAATGTTAGCTTCAACAGATTTGGCAACGGGAAAAAAGGTACGGGGCTTTTGGAGGTGCCTGCGACGTACTCGGAGGCTGATAATGATAAGTGAGGTATCGCTCTTATGAAAGAAAATTCACCGCCTGCCGCATTAAGTAGATACCCGTAGGTTACATAACTTAATCACTTGGGTACTTTAATTATGTATTGTACATCTGTACCTACGTAAGGTACCTACCTCATAACGCGCATCCCCGCTACCCTTGCTACACCCTGTACATACATAGTACTAGGTAGCTTCTATCTTAGCGGGATCTACGGCAAGGCTTGATCTATCGCCCCACCAAAGGTGTGCGGAGCATTCAAACCCGTCTAAATAATTTTTTTCTTTCTATTCGACTGTTGAATTTGCCATCACCAAAATATAAGTTGTACAAGTCGAAACATTTACGGTAAGCATACTACCACCTGCTAACACCGTTTAGCTTGGGGAGATTTTATACTATTCTTCCCACTTGATTCCCCTATATCAAGTTCAACATTCCATACTAACTGATAACTTCTCAAGTCTTGCAAACCCCATCCTCGAAGGACGTCAATAAATATATTCCCTCTAACCCGATATCCCATTCTCCCAATCCCCTTCTAGCAATGGCGAAAAGTTCCCGCGCCAGCACGCGCAAGACCAACAACCAGCGCCTAAAGGCCAAGGTCTTCGGCCCCGTCGAGGCAGCCCGAGCCGAACGTCTCTCCGCCAAGCTCCTCGAACTAGCTGCGCAGCCCAAACCTCAGCATGAAGAGGCCGAGATGAAGATTGCGGACGGTGCTGAGGAAGAAGCTGCTGCTGCGGCAGAGGCCGACAACAGTAAGTACCAATTCTAGACCGTGCAGCATGTTCTATAGTCGCTAACAATATCGAAGCAATGGACATTGACAGCGCTAAACCTACAAGCAAACGCAGCGACAAGAAGCGCATTGAGAAGCGGAGGAAGACCAGCAAGATTGTCTTCCCCAAATATGGTGACAAGAAGAAGACGAAGAGACGCTAGATGCGAGGCGTATCAAAGGGGTGGGTTGGGATGAATTGCATTGTTAGGCGTTCGGTTGTGTTTTGGTAGCACGTAGGTATATCTAGGTCTATACTTGGTTCCCACAATGATACCCTTCTTGGAGATATCACATCTCGCTATTTACGTGATCCCCAATCGCCATAGGTGTTACGTTTGTAGCCGATATTGGAGCTGGGGGAGCTAGAGGAGTTGGATGAGTTGAAGGGACCGCCTCCGGACTTGCGTCTAGGGTTGTTGGAGGCGCCATAGTAACGGGTGTCGAATCTGAAGGTGTTGCCAACACACCAGCTTGTGGCGGAGCTCGAGCCGGACTTGAATCTACAGGAGCTGAAGCCCGAGCCTCCGTCATAGGCGGATTCGGTGTAGTGGCTACTGGCGGAGGTACTGTATTTGTAATACTCGCCGGCTCCTTTGGCTCAGTCGATGCGATCGGTGCAGCTGGTGTAGCTAGTACACCCGGCACAGCATCCTTATTTGGCCCCGGCGCGTCTTCCTTAGGACCTTCGGTGGTTTCCGTCTTCTTCTGCGGGCCCGGTGCGTCCGGGTTCAGAAACCGAGCCGGCACGCCGGTTGCCGCATAAGATCCGCTACCCATCCACGCACCCGCCAAGCGGCTCCACCTATACTCGCCGCGCCAGAGCTTCTGTATCTCCCGAAACGCGTACGCATTGTAATACGGCAGCCCAGTCTTAGGATCTTTATAGCGTGCCGGGTGATTAGTGATGACACAACGAGGAGCTGGTGTCGGTTCTATATATATATTTAGTCTCCGATTACGAGGGATGTCACAATAGAGAATAACTTACTGCTCAGCTTAGCCATGTCCTTACCGAACAGGATCTGATTCTGCACGGCTTTTTCCTTTATAGCATTCTCGTTGAAGTTCTGTAAGATAATGCAGTTTCGTGTGGCTTTACCATTAGCAGGAGGCGACGGTGGGGGTGGTGGAGGGACTTCTTTAGGTTGATGCCTCTGGTTGTTGGCCTTGGAAGACTTGGTGGTGCTAAGAGGAGTTTTAGAGGTATAACGAGCCACTGAGGTAGATTTCTGCGCCGGTGTCGGTGTAGATATTTGAGCAGGCGTAGAAGGTAGCGAAGAGGTAGGTATAGAAGAAGTAGTAGGTGTAGGTTTAGGCGTGGGTGTAGTAGGTATAGGCGCAGGAGTTGGTCCAGGTTGTGTTAAAGGTTGGATAGGGTGAGTTGGGGTCGACATGGGGGGAGGGCAAGCTCCCGTCTGAGGCATGGAAAGAGGCGATTGCCTTTGGGCCGTATTAGGGGGTGCTAGGACGTTGGAAGGATTGGTAGTATTAGGGGTAGAATGATAACCTATCATTGGCATAGAAAGACCGCCTTGAGTAATACCTGCCGGTGGAGCTAAGAAACTATTAGAAGGAGGTTTCAATTCCGGTGGTTTCATGAGTTGTGACGGCTGAGGAGGCGCAAATACACTGGTAGTATAAATGCCTGTTACTGGAGGCCGCATATCTGGTGCTTTCATCTCTGAAATTTTGGCTTCCGAGGGTTTTGGCTCCTGAGGTCGGGGCGGCGGTTCACTTAAGCTCGCTGCTGGAGGCGAAGGTATTGTATCCTTTGGAGACTGATCCGGCACAGCTGGAGGTGCACTAGGAACCGTAACTGGTGCTGCCTGAGCTGGCGCAGTTGTAGGGCCCGATGCAGGTAATGGTTTGTCACCATCCGTGATAGGCTCTTTGGAAACGGTGGGACTCGGTGTAAATCCATCTTTAACCTCGCTCTCTTTTGCTTTTGAGATTTCAGTTGAGGTTGGTCCTGGTTCTTTATTTTCCGCTTTATCTACATTGGTTGGCCCAGACTCTTTAGGTTTGCCAAGTTCCTCTGTACTTGGAGGATCCGTAGGTATTTCGTGGCCAGCGATAGAAGCTCGTTTCTTCTTAGCCGGCTTTTCCTCGATGGTGACGATCTTGCCAACATGTTTCAACTTGCCATCAACCCATTCGCCAACTCCACTCCAGAAAGTTACTACCGGACCATCAAGGGTTCGGTTGTTCAAAGCCGCCAATTTAGCTCTTCGTTCTTCTTCCCGCTGCTTCTCGGCTTCTTCCCAGCGATTCAAGCTCTTGGAATTTTTCTTCTCCACGATAACAGCCTCGGCAAGCCTCTGAGCCTGTGTCATGGGTGGTTTCTTCAAGGCTTCCATCTTTTTGGCTTTCTTCTCCATAGCCTCGACTTGCTTGAGACGCTTGACTTCACGTTCGATCATTTGTTGATGTAGCTGCTCCTTGCTAAGCATCGTGGTCTCTCGTTTGGAAGCTCGCGTGGGCATGTCGGCAGGCGAAGGCAGCCAACTTATCCTTTCGGATTTCTTCTTGGGTCTTGGCTTCGGTTCGGGCGCCATCGAGCTTCCCGACGGCGTGGGCGCAATCTTGACTTTCTTGCGGAACTTGATGGGGATCGCTTCTTGGGCTTTTCGCTTTCGTGCGGCTTGTTTGCTCTCTCGCGCACGCTTTTCCAGCTCCTTCTCTCCCTCCAGTTCGTCGCCATTCTCTTGCGCATCCTCTTCGTCCGACGAGGACTCCATCTGCACGTCAGAGCCGTCATCTTCGACATCGGTAAAACCTGCGTCATCTTCATCCTCAGCAAAGAGAAGCTCGAGATCATCGTCGGGTTCTTCGGCAGCGATCATGGACTTCATGCGGTTGCCGGCCGTAGATCGTTTTTCTCGGCCCGTTGCGAGCCATTCCACTCGTGGAGACTCATCCTCGTCACCAGAGCCGCCATCTTCGCTACTCGAGTCCGTTTTATCAAGGTCTAAATCGTTGTCGCTCGTTTGCGCGCGTTGCTCGTCCTCTTCTTCTGCCATCTCGAGCAGTCCTAATAGTCAACAACCCTACAGCCAGATTTGATATTTAATATTTAATATTCATAATAGATTATATCCCTTCGAATCCCGTAATCAGCCACGCCAGGGTTCGTTGTGATGATATCTCGGTAAATGCCGTGAAATAAAGCGTCACATCAGTGCTACTACATAGTATGTAAACGCAATTGTTCGCGTCGTTGCTTTTTTTTACAAGGATCCAATTCTCACTGTTAGGACGTCATTAAAGTTTAACTTATGTACCTAGGAGGTAAGTTACAATGAGGACCTTTACGTTGTGCAATTTATGCAATACTCGGGTGTTATAACTAACCCGTATATCAAATATTAAAGGTACTTGGGTACGAAGTACAATGAACTCTTAAGACTTCACCTCTTCATCTCTTCATCTCGTCATCCCCTATCAATTTGTTCGCTATGTGGTCTGACTATAAAATGCCTCTACATATTTACATATAGTTCCTCTATCATTTCGCAGCTTGTTATCTGTCGTAGAAGGCATAATATCGGCTGTGCATATGATATACTCGCCATTTAGCAGCTCTCGAGTTAGATCCTCAGCATTTTCTTGCTATCACCAACAGTTGTGAATTCAAGAACGGCGTCGGCCGCGGTCATGATTAAAAGAGTCTTCTCCTAACGCGCCGGGGAGAGCCATTACTGTAGCCGTCGACCCGTTGCCAATTACGTGTTGGCGTGACGATAGACGTCGATGGCGACATAACCTGAAAAGTATCGCCCTGTGCGATACCGATGACTGCTTCGGTCCCGATGAGGTTGGTGCTAGTGAACCAATCTCGAGGAGCCAACATATCCAGGGAGCCGATCGGATCCTTAAGTACTATAGATGCATTATCAGCGCTTGGTATAGGTTAGGTATGTATAAGTCCAGACATCGGGACGTACCAAATGTTTTCGTTCCATCACTTGCTGAGCTTCTTTGAGGGGTCTTTGAAGTGCTAAAAGAACATCAGCAACGAGTCTTAGAAAACATTAAGAGATAGGAATTTACTGACATTGTGGTAGTTGATAGTAGACTATTCACTTCCTCTATGGCAGACGGCTTATTGGAGTGTATGAGGAATGAGCTCGGGTCTGAATGGTTCGATAATATCATAAAGTACTGTTCTCCTTTCTTCACTTCCAACTCACAGGACCCAGATCTGAATGAAGTTGTCATCGCTATACAAGTGTCAATTGGACCCTGCGCATGGTCAGATCGGTTGAAACATTCCATCCCCAAGTGAACTATCAAAATATGTCAGTTGACATTTTCTCCCAAGATAACGTCTTATGATGGCCATACCTTTTCTCGCCGTAAGACAGTCTTTGAGATGTGAACAGGTCGACTCCAGATGAAAATGAACATGGATCGAAGTTTCTGGCAGCCACCCAGTACCAGGATTCCACTTGACCACGAGTGTGTCTGAGTCCTCATTGCGTCTCACCCTATACCGTAAATCCTGCTTGATTTGGGTGCACTCCAGAATTCTCTGGTCACCTTGGCTGATCGCTTGCTTTCGATACCAATACCGAGAACGATTTCCTTCGTGAAACACGTGCGTCGGTACTTGGGTAACTGCATCGGCAAAGAGGCGCTTGGCAGTATTGAACAAAAGAGAGGACTCCAGAATTCTGCTGGAAATTCCCAACTCATCCCTTGCCCCTTTTATTGTCAACCACTTCTCGTGCACCTTGAATAATCCCTGTGAGGATGAGTAGAAGGAGTCTAGTCCCACGCTGCCAGCCTTAACGAAAACCACAGATATATTAGCGGTCTGAGGGCATGAGTCGAGGCCAGCTCGGATCAGTCGATGAACGGACTGGGCGAAGCCTGTATCTGGAATGGCGGTAGGTTCGGCTGCTAGGAATTGCTTCTTTTCCTCCTCTTCTGCTGTTCTGAATCCGCATTCCTTTAGAATGGTCCAGTATGAGTCTTTTACCTCTAGAGCCTCGCGGCGCAAGCCTTGGACAATCTGGTCAAACCGTGTGTTCTAGATATCGTGAGCAAGTAAGCCTTGCGGATTAAGTATTGGTACATACCTGACTTCTCTCTTTAGCCGAATAGAGCCACTTGTCCTTGAACTCCCTAAGGAGGAATGCCTTAATACAATCTCTCATATCTGGGAAGATAGAATATTCCGCCTGCGAGACATCCGCATATTCTGGCTTCTCGGAGTTAAGGAGTTCATGGAACTTCGCGACCATGCTGTCTTGAAGAATGAAGGCCCGGCTCCATATGCGTAGAATAGCCATCAATTCGTCATCGGCATGGGTTAGGAACTCTCTCTCGCGGTTCGCAACTCCATCTGCAAAATTATATCCGTACTGCAGCTTTTTCCCGGTAATGCTAGCGGATCTACCATTCTTCGACTCTTTTAGCAGTAGACCCTTTAGGTAGATACTTCCGCTAAATCGAGCGTCTAGGATTAAGTCGCCCCTTTCCGTCTTCACAATCTTGTTGTCATTGACACTCTGTAGGAAAAGGGCCGCTTTGGTCCAATTCATGAACTGTTCTTTTGTGACTTCGTTCCTCCTTATTGGGACCCCATTCTCATCCCGGCCAGTCCCATTACCGCCAATGAAAAACTGTACATCTTCACTGGGTAAAGCTCTAACGGGTACTAGGTTATTTTTCACGTCACTATTTGCTTGATCATGTGCCTTTTTGATTGCGGTAGGTGTCATCCTTGTAAGACTGGCAACGAGTCTCCGCTGATTAGTAAAGTTGAAGGTCCATGAAAACCCTCCAGAGCGACACCGGACCGCATGATTCTGAGGATTTCGTAGGAGAACTAGAAGAGCAACTTTGAGGCCTTCTCCGTGTGCCCCCGCTTGGTTTTTAACATTCTGCTTACTTGTTCCTCCCATATCAAGATGCCAGGGCTGGAGTGTAGCTTTTCTATTCGTGACCTCCACGATACCGAATCCATTTTGCTTAAACCATCTAATGTATCCCAAGCATTCTGGTATTTTGGTTTGATTTGGATCGGAATGCTTAGTTCTGTAAACTTTGAATATGATTCCGGCATCACTCTCCGTGCATGTAACACGAAAGCTGTCCTCAGCTATCTCGAAAGACTTAATGATCCCATCTCTCCTACACGGTAGTTAGCTCGACATTGTGAAGCCAGAAACACAAACACTACACACTACACTAACTTACCAATTCTGGACAAGCTCGCGAAATGCCTCGATAGGACCCCAGTGAGAAGCATAATTAGAGACGATGGGGAAATTTATGGTCATTCGCTGGTTGATGGATTCAAGTGTGACCCTATTTTCCAGAGTGTAAGACTCGTCATCATCTGAGAGTCTCCAGTCCTCCGGGGGGATATGGGGTGTTTGCGGCTTAGGCGCCATGTCGTGATCTTGTCTAGCCGCGAACAGTTAGAGTGACAGGCTCAATATTATTAGAGAGAGACTATTCCTAGATGTGAATAGTTGTAGTCCTCTACGGTGGGCTAATTCAGTGTTGGGAATGGTTGAAGTACGTATAAATCAACAAGTAGAGTAGTAGATCAATGAATCTAAATGTTAAGTAGGGCAGGATGTCAAGACGTCTCAAACTATGCTGTTTATATCTCCTCACCTCTAGGTCTATAAGGTAGCATAGGTAACCTTTCGAAGATATCTAAACAAACGCGTATCCCCAATAGCACTCATCCACACAAAGAACCTACATAGCAACACTGCTTCCTAGGCTACTAGTATCTTCCCGTCTATACCACCGTTTTTCTTCGTATCTATCTATAGACGCGTTTGACAGACTTCTCTATTTACGGTCCTGTAATGCTGTATTTACCAACACGCAATCGTAGCCCTGGCAATCAAGTCTTCTAGGTGGTTTGTAGGAACGCCCCGACAGAGTAGCTGGATTGGTAAACATCATAAGCCAAATTGACGGTGGCATAAAACTTGCATGTATAGTACAGGGAAGGCAGTATATAGATCGAAACGTAAGTTGATATGAACCGAATTGAAAGACATTAATCTAATAAATGCAGGTAAAATGAACTTTGGTCATAAAGGGGCTACCATAAAGCTTCAAAGGAGGCTAAAAATCAAAACTCATGTATGTATGTATACGGCATATACTGCATTAACAAAATGCGTCTTTGTTACAGCGTATATTTATTTGTGGCTGTTGGTACCAGAAGACCAGCAGTCAAAAGACATCATCTATCAAAACCATTCACTACTCCATCCACTAAGACAGCCGAAGTCAGGAGCCTCACACGAACTGCCATCTATGTATCCATTTCATAATTTCATAAGACGATTCGGGCATTGCTCACCCCCCCCAAGATTATATCAGATACAGCTGTGGCTATTAAGTGGTTTTGTCCGTAAAGTCGGCTTATAGCGTCTACTCATTCATTCACTCGCTTTAGGTAGTAAAATAACCAAGCTCCACGCTTTGCTATATGATCACGGGGAAGGATAGCTAGCTAGACTCTAACTAACACTTCCTAAATTATAAACTAGAGGACCATCCTTTTAAGTTCTAACAACTTATCAGCTTATTGTCAAACGGGAATAAAAGAGTGACGCCATACGAGTAAACCCCTATCCCCTGACTCGTCACATCGTAAAAGTCGTACGTTAGGACTAGCGGCGTTGCCCGTCCGCTCAAACGCGGACGGGGAAAGGGGAAGAGGGAGGAGGAGGAGGAGGAGGAGGGGGGGGGCCGGCGATTATGCGCAAAACTGACGCCACAGCTAAAGTCTGGCCTCTGATTGGCTAGCCACACCTCAGCGCACGTCCGATGAATTTTTTGTAAAATTAATTGATCTATTTCAACACAATGTAAAAGTTTTAATAATTGGTATCGTTAGATAGAGCTCGTTTTGCATGACCTTTCTATACCAGTTGCACCTTTTGCAGACGTTATGCGATAGAATGGCAAAGGGAAAAGTCGCAAACTGCGGGGCGATTCTAAGTATCTGATTGGTTGAAAAAATTGTGGCAGTACTAATTAAATATATAAGACTTGATATCCGACGATAATTCCAAAAGAAAATATCTAACTAGGGCTAATAATCCGGCGACGACCCGGAAGAAAGTCAACACGGGGATCTACACGCAACCTCGGCCTCCGCCCGCCCAGCTCCAAGCCGCATCGGCCCTTCCTTTCGGCACTCTCGGCAAGTTCGGAATTTACCTTGATAACGTACCTAACTAAGCGGGCCCGCCGCGGACTCTTCTCGGCCCACCTTCGTCATAGAAGCGAAATTCCCGCCGTAAGGGGGTACCCGCCAATCGGTCTTTGCTAATCTACATAGGCCTCTCTCTCTTTCTCTCTCTGTGGTATGTATGGGGGCACCTATGTAGGTAATACAGTACTAAAAAAAGAAAATGCCGAAAAAAAAGCGGACCGGAGAATCGAAATCGTCGATTGATGACTGCTGCATACACTATGTATGTCGTAGACGAGTATGTAGACCAACCGTAGAAAAAACAAAGGGACAAATCCAAGCTGCCGGAGACGACCACGTGGATACTGCTGAGCCTCTTACATTACGTGTCTACGTCGGGGGTGTGTATGTGGTGTGGTGTGGTGTGGTGTATGTATCATACATATCATAGGACACACCTAACATACTGTAGTTCGATAGTCCTAGAGCAACTTTTTTTTTCTCTTCATCCACCCCTACCGGCCCTCGGGAAACTTTCGCTTGACGACTACATACACATGGTATTATGTACTATAAGCTCCACTAGCGTTGGATCACGATAAAGCTTACAAGATGATGTACTGTATTGTAGACATTTTATGATTGATTGCACAATTACAACTTTATCTTAGTGTAGTTTAGCTGTCTGAGGACTACATAGGCATGGCTACCATTGCCTCCTTAACGTTTGTCGTATGACCCTGGGTCCTTATTCTAACTCATTATCTAACCCCTGAATTCGCAAGAAATAAACTGGTATATACCGGATCCGGAAAATGCCATCATACCAACAATGCCAATCATATCCAAAACAAAGTATTGTACGCCCTAACTGCGCCCCGGCAAAGCTATCGTTCCGAATACAAAAGCAAAACTAGGTACGCCAGGGGTAAAAAGATGGGGATGCCCTTGACAAGTACGCCAGTCCTGTCCCTATGCCGCCTATTTTTTTTATGCAAGATCCGTTCCTACTCTGTATGCAAAACTTGTACCAGTGAGGTAGGCGATTTCTGGTACTCCAAAGATTACTATGAACATATGAAAAGTAATTAAAAAAGGAGGAATCGCCGACATGGACTTCAATGTATATCCGAGGGCGTAGAGCCCCACAAAAGCCGACACGCCCGGCAACTTCGGAAGTTTGGGGGTATCGAAATCGGACACGGATCTCCTCGCGAGCCCCAGATACAAGTTTTCTTGGCAACACCTAGAGCATATTATTTTGTATATTCTCCATGTTTGAAGGTGTCTGCCGCTTTTCTCCTTCGTAACGGATGACTATGATAGAAGTAAATCCTAATCGGGAGATCCGGATGTATTGATGTAACCGTTGCGTCGTTGGTTGTAAGTATAATGACGAGGTGTAATATCGAGGCCGTGGGGGAGTAGTATGTACTGTTATCTCCTGGCCCAGATTTGTGTATCTGGAAACCACCCCCGCATTTGGTTGATGTAACGAGACCGAAGGTCTCGACGTAACTGTAATCGACTCCCCACGCCAATGCGTTGAGTTGACCTGCTGAGCGTGACAAAATCGGGCGATGCGTATAAAAAAACTCTCCGAAGCTCACGTCAGCACTATGGCGGGCCAGAACTCGTTTTTTAGACCACCCGCTCAGCGGCCAACTATCGGTGTAACTAACTCGATACTCTTAGGTCTCGAGTAGGCACCCGGCTTTCTGGAGGGTAATGGTCGGTCCGTCATTCCACCTTGGGGATATCCATAGCCCGTAACTGCATAGCCGTTATCGTAAGTTGAGGAGTAGAAGTGATTGGCCGATTTCGTGTACGACGTACTGGGGCTGGTGACAGCACTGCGCGTAAACGGCAAACCTGCATTGCCTGATATATTGCCTGTTAGCGGCGAAGTCGGGGTTACCGGCAGTATGCTTAATGACCTCAGGACTGAGATGGCATTGCTGTGCTGTCCGGTTGTTGGTGTTGTGGGAGGCGACCAACGAGACGGTGAGGCGCGCGGGATGATGTCTCGGGGTTCCGAGTTTCCAACCGAATAATACGGTAAACCAGCTCCGAAGCCCTCATGTCCCCTGGACGAATTGCGCGATGACGATACTCTGACACTTGTATCTTGGTCACGCTCGCGACACCTGGTCTAGACGTCAGTAATGCGGTTTATCTATTGGTTAGGTGGAATGTGGCTTACGCCTCCGAGCAATATAAAATCTTCTCATCTTGTGGGGTGAATTGCTTTTCGCAGGTCATACTGTAGATTCGTGACCAGTTAGTAAGTTGTCTACACAATAGTTTCGTGGGATGCAGGAACAGTCGGGTTGGTTACACAAGACACCCCCAGCGTTGATCACCCGCATGGCTTGATCGAGTGGTGACGCAGCCCACGTAGATTGCCTGAAGTGGCATAAGTGTCGCGCAGAAGGAGAGAAAAAGGGATCCCGATCTCACCCTTCCCAGGCGCAAAATGACGTTAGGTAGAACATCAAGAATACAACCTGGACAGCGAGTCTCGCCGCGGCATCGAGATCAAGGGGAATTATGTTGCAGGGTTAAGCCGTGTGAATAGAACAAAAAATACATACCAGAATTGAGGAAAGGTTTCTCGCTCATCATCGAACCAGCGTTCTTCTTCCAATTCCTTTTCGCGATCCTTTGGGCTTTTACCCAGTTTTAGCACAGTTTGCGGCGTTGATTTCCTAGTCAACGTTTGTGGCCGTCTGGGCTTCGCATCCGAAGCTGTGACCGCCCTGCGGGCTTCAGTCGTTGAGTTATTGGTCGCGGCATGGCCAGATTTGCGACGAGTGTGATGCATTGGGACTATGTAATTGGCCCCGGCAGTAAGCCTAGGCCAGAACCTACTGTTCTAAAGAGTAGGTAGTAGGTGAGTACCTGATAGACGGCTAGCTTGGTAGGGGAACCCTTTCCAATATATTGCAGAGAGGGGTTGAAGGCGGGGAGATCTCGCGATAAGTTTGGCGGGTTTTGAAAGTCGTATAAAAGCTGTCTTGCAAATTTCCGGACAATTGCGCTGCCAACCAGTGGAATGGGCTATGAGAATAAAGCGAATTGACGTGCTTTAGTTTCTCGTTGTTCCTGGAGCCGAATTGATAAGGTGCAGGACCCAAGACGGTTGAGGTACTAATACTATCTCCTAAGACCGGGATGCCCAGTTTGGCAGGAAAAGAACCAAGGACAAAACAGGGTTAAATGATATATTACGTGCCCAGCTTCAATTGTAGCAGAACACGAGATGACGATGTTAACAAGCGAATTGTGGTTCGGTAACGTCTGGATCGTCTTTCCAATTGCTAGTCTGCGCTTTTGGATCAAAAGTGATGATAATAGCTTCACCTGTGACGTGTGAACGGAGAAAGCTCGTAATGGTGGCGGTGGTACGTTGGAGGTAGTAGAAGTCTTGGTGGTGTAACATGTATTGGGATAGTGAGAGTCGCTGGGGGCGTTTAGTTGTGTAAGTCGGACTTTTCGGATATGTCTTGGGACACAGAAGAAACAAGTTGTTCGTAGTGTAGGTAACAATTGAATCTTCAAGTGTTCAAGCAGATCTATAAGATGAACGTCTACTAGGGAGGTTTCATGAAAATATCATGCAATATAAAATTCGAAGATGCTATGCTAGGGGAGCATATAGCTGAATTGGTCGACAATGAATAAATCTTCGAGCTTGGAATTTTTTTGAAGATTGAGAAGGAAGACAAGAGGCGGGATGTAGTGGATGATATATTCTAGCACCCTTGGAAATGTTTCGTACCATACCTTTTTTTTCACTCCTTGGCCTGGCTGACACTGTACATGGCTGCAACATAATTTTGGCAGGTAAGGTAAGGTACCGCTTGTATCTGCTAGGGTTATGTTTTTGTCTGTGTCTGGATGACTTTATGTAGGAAGGTACCTTGGGACCTGGGCTTGTCTAGGAGGTACAGATGATACTATGTACAGATGTGTGTGCACAATAATCAACCAACGATGACTCTTTCTCTTATTCGCCCTTCCCCTTTTAACTTTGCAAGTGCTTTGCAAGTGCTTGCGTGCGTGCTTTCATTGGCTGACGTCTGCTCAGAATGCCGAAAGCGGAGATGCGACCCAAGACTGGGGGGCTTGAGCCAATTGCGTGTGACTACTACATTGTCTTAACTATCACGACAGAGCTTCTATTAGCGCCTAGCCCTTTTGGATTCTTAAGTTGGGACAGGTGAACGAAGACTCATTGAATATGGGGACAGGAGAAAAACGAATAAGAAAATTTTTTCTATTCTCCCCTTGCAAGTTGAGTTGGCTTTTTACAATTAACTCTGCCTTACCGAAACGCACTACCTACCAAAACTGGCCATTCGTTAGTAGTGTATATCAATGCGTTTGACAGGCTAATTATTTTTGAGTAACGCTATTAGTTATCCGAGAAATCCAAGCTTGCCTAGCATAAGGTATGTAGACATCATATAATGTATGCCTACATACAGATATTGGAGTCAGTTACTGTCCTTTTTAGTAAGTCTCAACGCCATGGCAAAGCAGCCAGCAACATCGAACAAGATACTGGACATGATGGACATGCAATGGAACGCCCATAACAGGGATGGTGATGTAGCAGCATGGATCGCTTGGCGTTGTAAGAGTTATACGTAGTGTAGGTAGGTATATACGTATGTCTATACAGTACGGTATACCTTACACCTTAATGAACCTTTTAGATTGATCAGAATCATGATCAGAATCATTTGGAAAGAGTTCATGGGCAGGGGTTAAGATGGCTCGGGATTTCAACAATGCGCTCCCGTTGTACACAGTTACTTACATATCTAGTTAGTATAAATAATGCAAGCAACATAAGCTCCGCTGCGGTTCGCGGGACGGGGGATACCACCTACATAAGGCACCCGTACATGCGGAACTGACCACTTAAACACTTGGACAATGTGGATGATCGTTATGCAACATCGCAAAGTTTCCCGACGGGATATTTGCGATACTTTGCGATATTTGCCAGACATTTGTTGTTTCAATATTTGGACTAACTACTAACTACCTAACTCATTCTACATGTAATCTTCTCGCTGCCATGTACAGTATACTGCTGCATGCACCGCAGCTTTTTGTTACAAACATTTCGTTACGCCATCCAGGTGTTCCCATGGATATATGTCTGCCCATCCAGGTCGGCGATTTTTACTAAAGCATCATCTCTCCATATCTCGGCGCAATTTGTCACACAATTACTCATATAGATTATACAATGCTTGTACAATGCGGTGAACAGAAACAGAAACAAAAGGATCCGGGGAGAAAGAAGGACAAGAAAAACTTTATATGGATTCGGCGAAATTCATCCATCAGATGTCGCGATTAGGTGCTACGTAGTCTGTGGCCAACGCCATAGGTTACAAATCCAAGGTACGCAGTACCTGGGTCCTCTACCCAAACATGGTTGCGGATCAGATAAAGGATTGGTTGTTGGTCGGTATGTATTCAATCAGGCACTGTGTCTATCACCTCATACCTAATCCTAATGTACGATACACGCACTACACGCATTTATTTTAATATTTCTGTAGACTGGTCAAATGGTTGAAAAGTGCATCGATTATTCGTAAGTCTGGTGGCCAAGTCTGGTGGCCTTGCAGGCCCTACTTATAGTGTATAGCATACATTACGGCCCTAATCAAGTAGGTGACGTGGATTACTCGTGAGTCACCATCCAAGGGCAACCTCCATGATAAATGCGACTTAACCCGAAGCCGAGTCTTGAATTAACCATATCGAATTTAAACACACGCAGGTAAAAAAAAAAAAATACAATATACAATACCTTAAAGCATCGATAGTTGTGCGTTCGAATTAGCGATGACACTAACAAAAAAAATCTAGATCTAGCACGAGGAAATGGCGACTTTTTCAAGACCAGTTCACCTCATCCATCATCTCAAGCACGTTTTTCTAATTTTTTACCTAAAAAGTGCAATGGGTGGATTCGCACGTGTACCAGTTCGTCGATTTCTAGAAGCGCAAAATAGTCCCGGACCCCATGAAGCATGCTCTTTTTTTTTCTAGGCCTGAGCCCAGTTAAACTTTACCCTGGCAGCCCTTAGGCTAACATCCGAAAGGGTGCTTAGATGTGGGCTGTTAGGTATTGTGTTATACTATAATTATGTGTTGTATCAAGTTAGTCCCACCGCCGCGGCTTTCCCCCGTTAGGAGCTAATACATGTAAGTTTTGAGTACAACAACGTCCTACAGTCCGCAAGGTAGCGCGAGGTAAGGAAGTAAGGGGTTGCAGACTGCCCGTGTATTTAAACGGCAGCCACGGCAGCCACGGTAGGCACGGTAGGCACAATACAGTTTATTAGTCTGTTAGTTTATCTTTTTATCTAGGTACCTATAATGTAACAAGGTAGTACGGTAACCTGACCTATAATAATGCCGTAGGCTGTAGCTGGTAATAACTTCCAATCCGGTCCTATGTAAAAGCAGCTCGAACTTTCCAATCGTATATGGAATCGTACATGGGAAATCGTACATGGCAAACTTACCTAATGTCGGCTTCCCGTGTTGCCGCCCGCAATTGACGTCTCCAGTTATCCGGGACTCTACCCTACATTCTACATCCCCCCCTTCTCCTCCCTCTACTCTATTACTCTACCACTCTATCACTCTACTACTCTACCACTCCTACTACTCTGCCACTCTACCAGTTACTACCCAGACTCTACCCAGACAAGTTATATCGAAGATTTGGGATTTGGACCTTTTCGATGCGCGATTCCCATCGACACGCCACTTCGGACAAGTCGTCATCAATTATTCCTCATATTTAATCGTTACAGTGATATAATTGGGTTACAGCTCGTATGGCAAGTAATTATGTCTGAGGCTGTCCGACGTCGCTTTTTTGCCATTATGTCTTCCCCGGCATATCCCCAATGTCTCAATACGCATGACTGCCGATCCAGCGCTGGAGATCTTCAAACCTCTGAGAACGCCCCGTCGTGTCAATTGATTAGTTTCGACTTCGGCTATCTATAATGGTAGCTGATGATAGCTGATCAATCTCGTTACCCCTCTTTGAGAAAGCTCTCGAGCCCCCCTGGCGCCCTGTCCGGCCTGTCTAATTGTCTCGCCTGGCCCCCTCTTCTCTTATTCTGTCTCATCAACTGAAGGTCGCTGTGCTACATGCGACTGTGGCTCATTACCTGTTTCGTTCGCAATTGCAGGTTTCCATTTTAATTTGTGTAACTCGCGGGGGAGAGGGTTGCACGTCGTATTTGCAGTTTATCTGAAAGGCAAAGACGCTGTGTAGCCTTCCAGCCTGCGTGATGTGTGCTTCATCTACAGGTGACTGAGGTAACAAGGCAGAGGAGGGCATTCATCATTCATCGTAATGTAGGTAGGTATCGTTGCTTGCCTCCTACACTATAGCTCCACCGACGGGCATGGGCTGCGGCTTGCATATACAATGTGTACATACATGCTACCTAACAATCCATCGTTACATCATCCGGCACGACAACTTGCAAGGGAGAGAGCTACAGAAGAGATAGTCCCGACTCCAGATTTGTGAGCGGCTTGGCAGTCTGGGTAGAGTTGCCGAGGACTGCTTTGATTCCTGCGACTCCTACGACTCGTCTCCTCACCCTGGGTTCATATCTTTTATATTGACCTCCAGTCGTCCGTTACCCGGATTACCCATTTCGGAATTTACTAGATCTTAAATTCTGGTGAGGATCAATATCCCCCACGTGGAGTGTCACAGCCGATAGGCTCCTGTGTTCAGGAACATATCGCTCTAGCAAGTTCCGTCCAAGGGTTTGTCGAAAGTGAAGTGCGGTTGATGCGGAAAATCTAAACTGCTTCGAAGGTACGACGACGTCAACTTCTTATTGGGTTATTTGGACATAATGTCCGGCTTTATTCCCGCCAAAGTGCCTCAATTACAGACGTGTCAGTTCTGTGTTCTACTTTGGGTGTGTCGTACAACAGGAATGATCGCCAGGGCTGAGTCCAACCGACGGCCTTAGACGGGATAATATCCAAATACGTACGGTTACGAGCAACGGCCTTTCTTCCCTAATAGTGCCACAATGATGATAGCACTTAGTGCTCCCAAAGAGGCAGAAGCATGGATTATATTTCTATGTGAACGGGCACGGGTTATCAGAACTCGGTCAGCTTCGGCCATCCAAGGCTCATAGTGGAGTCGAACAAGCAATCTGAATCCGTTAATGGCAACCCAGAAAATTTTCTACCCTTGCGAGATAACTAACCGCCAACCTATCGTCGTCGCCGCCGCGGCACAGCCTCTCACACACCCTTTTGCAAAAACATGTACCAGGAAGAAAGACCGCGATAAGAAAGTTTCTTCTGCAATAGCATGCACCTCTATATTGGCTTGACCCATGTCGCCGTTCTTGATTCTTCCAGATTTCTGCAGGTACCCTAGACGTGGACATCCATACACCACCACAGGCAGAAGCATCCATATCCTATTGTGCTTGCGAACCAATCAACTCAAGTAACCATATTTGCAAGCTCGGCTAGACTATGATGGACTTATACATAGATGATCTGCTCTAGGAGTTAACCGGGAATCTGCTAGCGTCGCTAGGTTATCTCTCGGGAAGCTATCTTTCAGCTGTCAGATGTTAGGCCGAAACTAGATCAACTAGATCCATCTAACGAACAGAATAAGCAGCGATGCAGCCGAAGAGGTTCATATCAGCGTGATCGGAGCCGATTACTGTTGGTATGCCCTTGCTTTGTTACACTGACAGGACTGATTAGTAGTCTCGCACCGCAGAAATTTGCCTCGTGGACATGATGCTACGCTATAACATAAGCTCTGGGCATTCGCACGCGAGCTAACACTTGCCTAGGCTTCAATATTTCACCTCCTGTTACGGCTGCTCAACGCCACCGACTTGTGTAAGCATGCATAGACCGGCGAGTTCTTAGAAAGTTGTCCGGGGCTTAAAAGTGATAAGTCAGGACAGGTGGCACCATTAACCTGACCATATTCCTGAATTTTCATCATCATTGCTTTACAAAATATATTAACAGTCTCGCCGGCTTGAGCCTCAAGTTTTTTAGCGTAGTTTATTGGCGGGGAGAACGGACTTTTAATCTATATTCCAATCGGAGAATTCATTCGTGTTCTCCAGAGCCGATGGTCACTACGGGAATAGGATCAACCGCTTAGGTAACAAGATCCTAAGTATAGCATCTATATTCAAGGCTTCTCTGGGGTCTTGCAATGACCTCATCTAAGACTTCTTTGACGAATGCACTGCTTCACAAGCGCGCGCATGTAGTGCGAACTGTCCGGGTGCGTACAGCGATTGTGTAAGTCTTACACGCCATAAGAAGTACGACTGACGAATTGGGCAAGTCGGACATGGCGAAATTGCGCAAGAATAGTGGCGAATATGGTTGCAGAATAGCTTAATTGCTGGCCATTCTGCCATTTGAATCGGTATGCACCATGGCGATCTTCCCCTTGCGTTATAAGAGGTTGTATCAATTACTACAGTCCCCATTGCCTCATTGCAGAAAAGCGTCACGCGAGTTTTAGAGATCGGGTCGGACTGCAATTGAAACATCTCGACATCATACCTAAGTATTGTACGAGATCTCGCCAATCCGTATATGACACAGGCTCGAAGAGGGCACAGTGTGTCATACTTATTACGTATAAGTCGTATTTTCTCTTTCGTACTTGAAACTCGAATATCTGTACGGATCAGTCCACGTAAGAATGGGTCATGGAAGGGAGTAGATAATTTTCTTCTCACCGCCCTAAAGGGATGAAATTTTCGATATCGTGAATACTATGAATTAGGTAATAGGGTTGATAGAGTTGATACATCTATCTACACATGGAGCCACAATTAATCTCTCTCCAAAGCAACTAACCTAGTTAAAGACGATATCCACCCCGTGGACTACCCAGACCTGCCAGACCTGCCAGACAAAACATGTTGCGGGGCACCATGCTCGACCTCGTGCTACGGGGATGGCATGGCGCAACCTCAACTACATTATCTCAGATCTCGCCGCAGGCTAACATCGAGCAGACCTTAAGGGTCTTGTCAAGCTGTGCCCATCTTAGCATAGTATGACACTCATACATACTGCATAGTTAACCTCATGTTAAAACATGGGGAACTTCCGTAACCCCTCTTGTCCCTCCAACCGCCAAGGACAGGGGTATGCGCATTCCTTACCTAAGTACATACATACATAGTTAGCCAGCTAGCTCGCCCAACACGCCTCCCAACGTTCCCCCGGATTCTACCCCTACACTAGTCCGATGGCCGCCGGCATCCCGCACGGCTGGCATGGGTAGCTCGGATGAGCCGAATGGGATCTCGTCGGAAGGTACCCCGTCGAATACCTGGACAGGCATAATACACTATACAGCATATGCGTGCATAGATAATAGTATGCGCCGCGGGGACGGCAGTAGCTCCGTTCGCGGCGCGGGTGGGTGGTTGCCAGTTGGGTCGATATAACGCGGTGATCTGGCGAGATAGATCGACCTCTGCGTAGTCAGATAGGCTAGAGTATATGTATGTACAGTACGGGCCGGGTGAAGTGTGTACATACTCTTCACCGCCCCCAACCCCTTTACTTGGCCCCAAGACGCACGGGCCGGGGGTAAGTGGTATTAGCTTCGATGTTCACGGAACGAGGTCGAAGTAAGGTAAAAGAGCACAGTATGCGTTTCAGATAGTTCTTAGGAAGCTCTTAGGTCAGTTTGAGGGATGCGGGCTGGCGTGGGGTAAATATGTACTGGGTTAGTACGTCGTTCTATACGACATCCACATACCACTACAGTGAATAGGAGAGGTTAGCTTCCCCACAGCTGTGCTCCCGGGACGTGCGGCAAGCTGGCCGAGAACTTGCACGCCGGCCGTCTCGGCACCGCGGTGGCTTCGAGCGGAACACTCTAGACTCTCCTTAGGTCAATGCTAAATGTGATATTGCATTAATCACACGGGACGGAGTCCGCCGTGGAGTTTGCTCCTGGTGGATTGGATAGGGAGAGGTGGGTATCTTATGGGTGAGTGGGGGGAAATATGTGTGGCGTTTTCGACGATGTCGGGGAGGGAGAAAGGGGAAGGGGAGATTCATGATTTAAGATAGATAGTATGGGGTTAAAACTCGAATTTTTTCTCTGAATCTGCTGTGGAATTGGCCGTCGGATGGCTTGACAACTACTTGGACAACACAAGCCTCTTCGCTGGCGTCTACCTGATACCCCTAAGTGTCTCCTACAGATATCTATTAGATGTTTAGGACCCGTATATATGCAGAATGATATCCGAGGCTTGATTAAACATTGCTCGTTGGTATATCATAACAGATATCGTGCGTGGAATGCCGAGTAGTAGTAGTAGTATCGAAAAGAGACGTTGTCATTAGTTGTTACAACCGTCCCCTTTGGCAGGCTATATCTGATGGAGTGAGATTATAAGCTGGAGATATCTTAACCAGAATTTATTCGTGTTTATCTACTAAAGCCATATTGCTCCTCCCGTCATCGTTAAAAATAATCTCGTCCCAGCTAGTAGGTAGGCTTTGATATATCATGCGTATTTCACCGAGTCATGCAAACGTTTAGATAGATACACATCTATAAATGCTCAGCTCTCTGGCCTATACCTCATCTGATAATGAATAGTATTTATTTATCTCATTTCAAGTTGTATTCGGAAGCTTAGGCTTTCGACAAGTCAGCGCTCGTTGGAGTTAGCTAGAGAGATAGCGACATGATGTTAGTGTTAGGGGAAGGGGCTGGATCAGTAATGTATATCTCTTTAGTTACCTCATATCTTCATATATCTATCATCCATCCGTGATCCTGCAATCATTGAAGCCTGTATAGTCTTTTGAATTCGATATTCACTTACTCTGCTATCCTTGTGTCTCGACGCAAGAGAGTGATCTTTACCAGCATCAACCCTAAAACTTATATTTAGGTAAGTTGTAAGGTGCGTTAAGAAGAATCAGCACGTCGGCCTCAAAACGTATTTAAATCGATCACTAGTGACAAGACCGAATACGACGTTTTTGCCGAATACCGCAAGGAGTGACTTATATACTAAATATTGATTTTCAATCAATTTACTTGCTAATAGTACCGCAACAATATATGAACCCTCTATTCTAAGTCTTACCGGCCTTGAAGTTAAACCTCTATCGGTATCTTCATTGGACCTATCTAACTCTAGAGCCTGCGTCGTGGACTCTCTAATATATCTTCTCCGAGGAATTGAATTCAGATAGGTAGCGCTGCAATGCCAGCATTGATTTCTCAATCGATGTATCCCCAAAGATCTCCTCAATTGCCTTCCTGCTGGGTGGAGAGCCTTGGACCCTTTCGTTATGTATATTTCCGCTTGTTGGTTTAGGCGAGGAAAGTATTTCCATCGACTCTATAATGGTTTCTATATCGAGCTGGCAATCGTCGGCGTACGATCCGGCTACGCGCGTAAAACTGGGAGCCTGTGCTAGTTTCGTCAGGTGGCGGTTGGCCAATGTGGCTTTATGGATGGCCAGGGCGAAGATATCGGCGTTGGAGGTATCTTTGTCTTCGGGAGATACAGGATACATGTGCCAGAAATGCCACATTGTTCGGAACGCTCCTAGGCGGGCGAGACATGAAATATACGGTCCTTGATAGGGACCCTGTGTGGTGCTGCCGGATATAAAATCTTGTAATGATGGCTGTGGTACCTTTTCTCCCGGTACCTGGCCTGTTAAAAGACTGTATACTGCTAATAGAGGATACGTAGGATATTTCTGGATAGCAGATGGAGCTGTTGACTCCTCCAGATTGATCGTTTCCAACGCGTTGAGAATGCCAGCCACTAGCCAAGCGTTGAAGTTAACACCGCTGTCTTGGGCCATTCTTATATATCTCTGAGCTACATCGAAGACACCGCATTGTACCGAGGCTACGATAGCGCCATACAACAAAAAAGTGGGAGTCTCTGGCTTCTCTGGTTCCAGAAGGATTATTAAGTTGTTGAGAAACGTGAGTATTTGTTCCGGTGGCGTCTCCCCGGATATTTCTACGCACGCTCTTCCGATAGTATTGGTGCTATTTGCAACGAGCCAGCGACCTGTGGGGGTTCGAATAACACTCATGATAACCCTCTCGATTTGATCAAGGTCACGGCACGCCTTAATCGCCGTTCGAAACTGTGTTGTGTCGTCCTGGGTTGGTTCTACACGGTGGGATATTTTTTGCCGGTGTAGCAAGTGCGCAATGGTCTTGGACGGGCTATTAAGTATATAGTATGGTATCCCATTTTGATCGAATATACTATTTTTATCGATATGATAATCATCGTAACTTCGTCTTGTCACAGGCGTGTTGCGGAGCGCGACGGAAAGTATATCGTAATTGGTAATTCGCCAAATATCGAACTTCCTTAACGCTGTTTTCGCGAATTGCAGCTGATATAACTTGCTGAGATTATTCACGTCGGCGACGAGTTTCTGGATGGGTTGGAGTTTTTGTTTTTTAAAAAAGGAGACGGGCAACGGTTTACCATCTTTCTTCAAACTAGAAGGGCGAACATAGGGGCTATTCTCGGCATCGAGATCGAGTATTAGTTCGGTTGCCTTGAATGGCAGATAATTCTCTTTGTGTTTTTTTAGAACAGCATTAGGTGAGGGCCACTTTGGAATAGATCTTGATAATTGGGCTGGGCGTGGCATTTCGAGGGCGATGGCTTAGATTTACAAGATAGTAACATTTTTCAGGCAAAGTTACTATTGCAAATATAATATTCGTTGATGCTGTGCCGTGTCAAATAAATATCGAACCTCGGTGTCGCAAGACCATTTTTGAAACGGTAGGAAAATGCAATCCTCGTCCCTGTTCGTCTCCAAGTCTTCCCCATATAAATTTAGGCTTACGCTACCCCAGAATCTGGGGTAATTATCTAGGCTCAGAGGGGTAAAAAGCGTAAGCTAACAAAAGATTTAGTACGGTCCCTGACGCTAGGTACCTAGGTACAGGTTCCGGGTTCCACCTGATCCATTTCAATGGAGCAGTGGAGTAGATACGGCCCTTAGATAATCCGTAGCAGCATGCCCACATTAAAATAATAACTGGTACCTAGGTACCCACTGTCACAGATCCATTGCCAGCTGCATCATGCCATCTGCCAATTTAGCAGCATTCATTACATTAACAAAAAACTAATCCGAAGAACCATCAACAAATATTCTACCGCTCTTCAAATTATACGTCTACATCGAAACCTTAGATTTCTGTTTCCATTAGCTATGCCTCCTGCGAAGAAGAGGAAGACGGCGTCGGCCGCCAAGGCCACCGCTAAAGCAAAAGACGCTCCGGCAGCAGAGGTAGTTGAACAGACTATACCAACCAACGAGGAGAATCCTGAAGAGGAACAACCAGAAAAGCCGAAGGATTTGACTCCAGTGGAGGATAGTGCAACAGCATCAACAACAGCAGAAACTAGTTCGGCTGCAGATGCCGCGGAGAAAGCAAGGGAGCGGATGGCACGTTTTCGCGCCTTACAGGCTCGCGCGAAAGTATCATCGGACCAGAACCTTGCGGAAACAAGTAAAGAATCTCAGCGCCTAGCTACCGACCCGTCCGCACTCGTATCGCTGAATCGCCGCCGCGACATTGCCACACACAAGCTACTAAAGGCCGAGACAGAGGAGGCGGGCGAGGACTTTGAGCGCAAGCGGGCGTGGGATTGGACGGCGGAGGAGAGCGAGCGCTGGGACAAGCGCATGAAGAAGAAGGCTGCTCACCGCGACAACAACGCTTTCCAGGACTACCGCCAGGAGAGCAACAAGGTTTACAAGAGGCAGGTGCGCGATCTAGCTCCCGATCTCGAGCGCTACGAGAAAGACAAGATGGCTGCCATCGAGAAAGCTGCCGCGTCCGGCGGCCTCGAAATCATTGAGACCGAAGATGGTGAACTCATCGCTGTTGACAAAGACGGAAGCTTCTATTCTACTGCCGACTCGACCTCCTTTGCCGAGAATAAGCCCGACAAGGCGGCCATCGACAGGCTGGTGGGTGACCTGCAGAAGGCCGAGGACGTCAGGTTGCGTAAGAGGCGCGAGAGAATGGCACAGAACGGCGACGACGGCGACGTTACGTATATCAATGAGAAGAATAAGCAGTTCAACCAGAAACTAGCTAGATTCTACAACAAGTACACGGCGGAGATTAGGGACAGCTTCGAGCGCGGGACTATGATTTGAAAAGACGATGGGTGGTTTTACTGTACCGGATGGCGTTCACACAAGCATGGTCAGATGGGCCGTACTGCTACACAATTAGATTACACTACTGGCATTCTTCGGCGGGTGGGGAGGGCGTTGGACAGCTATGATACAGTTTATAGGCGTGCATTAATACAACACACAAGCTCAATCGACATTTTCAGACCATGGTTTTCCTCCACGACTTGTTAGCTAACTCCTCGATTTCGGCGAGTTCCACAGGCCCCTTAACCTTGTCGTCCCCTAGAGCTTCGACGACGGCCTCGGCCACAATGTCTACTTTTAAGGGCTTGACACCGGCGGCGCCCATAAAACCGCCCAGGACACCGCGCGTGAACCCGTTGAAGGCGGCGCCTAGCCCCGTCATGGCTGCCATTCCGATGGTGATGGGCCGCGAGCTATCGTATAGGAACGGCGCGCGGATAAAAACACCCCGCATGCGTGGGAATTCGCTTGCGATAGTACTCTCGGCCTCACGCTTTGTCGTAATATACCTCGCGGGCAACACAGGGGCACCACCGGCCGCCGAGATATACGCGAAAGCGGCGACATTTTCGCGTGCTGCCTCCTTGGCTAGCATAATGGCACTGTCACGGTTCATGCTCTCGTACGTGAGCTGGTTTCGGGTTTCGGGCGGCCGGATATCCTGGTTGCTACCCTCCGGCACTTTGCGGTCCAGCGGGTTCCCGGGCTGCGGCGCGGCCGAGAATGCCTTCCGTAATCCCTCGATGGGTGACTCTTGGCCCCGTAGCACGCCCTTGTAGTCGGCTTCTAGTAGAATACCGAGGCTGTGAACGACGAAGTCGGCGCCCTTGAGGAGAGGCGCGTATGTTGCTGGGCGCATGATGTCGGCTCGTTCCCAGGTCACTTTCCTAGCCCATTGCGGTGGTTTGTCTGATGCCGTAACTGTGTCCCATTTCGGTTCGCCTGAACGACTGAAGCTTATTAGTATGATAATATAACTATAACATTGAGAAATAAAGTGTGATATAGTCTAAGTACCTTATAGATGTTACGTCCCAACCCCTAGTAACTGCGTATTTGCATATCCTAGATCCGATGAACCCGTTCCCACCGCACACTATGAGCTTCTTAGCCGACATGATGAGTGAACTAAGTTAGATATAGCCCTAGCTTGCAACTTGGACAGTCAGTATATTATTCGAATTCCATGCAGTAAATACTGATTTATCATTTAAGAGGTCTTAAATAGAAACTTCAGTTCTCGTGTACTTCATTGGCCGTCAAAAGCATATCTTGGATGCTATTTCTCAATCAACGACATCATCAGTTCATGTGTAAGGCTGAGGAACTTTAGCGCTAGAATTTCCTGGAGGGATGTGAACAGGGGTGTGGGTTTGTGTTTCTATTGGTTCGACCCTGAGAAGCCGTTGCAGAAATATGGGGCTATAGTAAGGCTGGGAAAACCACTTAGAAAATAAGTGCAAAGTTGCATAATCGATAAGATGATGATGCTACACGGTTCTAGCTTCGTGAGCTAAAGAAGTCAAGTCGGACTTGCCTTTGCGATTACAATTCCATGGGTCTGCGATAGCACTTACCTGATGATTTAGACTCTTAGAGCGCATCACACCTACCCATCATTAAATCATATACTCCAATTATTTAATCCCTCGAACTTAAACTTACCTGTTACTCTCATCGCCATATATCTTCTACTTTACTTCTACTTCTACTTCTACTTTTACTTCTACTTTTACTTTTACTTTTACTTCTACTGAACATCCGTTATCGCTGTCAAACATGGCGCCACCCGCAGGCAAACGCGTTAAAGGCGTACAGATCTATCGACCATTCATCTACGGCACCACCGCGCGTCCCTTCAACGACACCGACAACCCTCGGCCCGCTGGCGTTCCTGCTGACCACACGCACTCATGGCAAGTATTCGTCAAAGGCGTCGACGACACCGATATCTTCTACTGGTTGCGGCGTGTGCAGTTCAAGCTACACGAGTCCATCCCGAACCACCTACGCACCATCGACGCCGAGACCATTATCAAGGAGAATGAGGGCAAGCCTCCGTCTCAGCGCCAGAAAGCCTTCGTCGTCAACGAGACGGGATGGGGCGAGTTCGAAATCACTATTAGATTATACTACGATAGCCGCAGCAGCGAGAAACCACAGACTTTATACCATCATCTAAGACTACACCCGTACGGTCGCACCGAGGCCGAAAAAGAAGTCATGCGTAACGGCGGTGAGGTCGTGGCCTGGGTGTACGAGGAGCAGCTCTTCAACGAACCCTTCGAAGACTTCTATAAGGTCCTAACGACCGGCGCACGCGACAAGAACGCCTCAGCCGGCGGCAAGGGCGGAAAAGGCAAAGGGAAGAACGTGCAGCAGCAATCCAGCAGCGGAGATAGCGGCAGCGAAGTAAAAGAGCGCAGCGCCATGATCCCGCTGACCAATCGTCCGGGCCAGCCCTTCAGCCGCGAAACGGAACAGCTCGAGATTAAGAGGCTCAAGGAGGCCGAAGACAAGGTGCACCAGATGGTGCTCGAGATGACCAAAGCGGTCAAGGCCAAGGAGGCTGAGCTTGCGGCCCTCAAGAAGGAGGCTACGGCGGCGGCCGCTTCCGGCGCGTAGGGCGCGTCAAGGACTAGCGGCAGGCAAAAGAATAAAAAAAATGTTATAGCTACGCGAGAGGACGAAGACGAAGACTGGGAAGATGAAGGAAAAGTTATAGCTAAGCGAGAGGACGAAGACGAAGACTGGGAAGATGAAGATGAAGATGGAGACGAATCCGAGCAGCCGGGGACACGAATCGTTAAGTTGAAGGTTCGCAAGAAGCACCTCAAAAAGCTCGCGAGCGGCCGCCGCGCGGCGCCCCATCGTAATCCTCGGCGGAACGGATAATTCAAAGATGTCGCCGAGACTAAAGCTCGGCGCTCTTGCGAATGGCGTTTAGAGCCCGGGGACGGAATGTCACGGGAGAAGAAAGAGAGCAAGGAAGAAAGAAAAGAAAAGGAAACATTCCAGTGCCGAATATATTCAGCTCTGAGCTACACGTCTGCGTGTTCAATACAGCTCACCTGAGATGTCTGCGCACACGCGCGTAGCGCTATACCAAAGTACGAGAGCTTGAAGTGGTATTATTGTCACCGCTATACGATTGGCTAGGGGGGCAGTAGCGGCATGATGGGAGGCATTCAATAAGCATAAGCTCAAGGCGTTCACCGTACTGGGAGAGGAGATACCGTCTCCTCCTAAGCTGGGCTAGACCTAGATTTGTATTGTACATATCATACACACTCCTGGGTATTGATCCTTGCACATTAGGTAGATAGGTAGGTATACACAGACAACAACACTCATGCGTTACCTCTTACCAAAACACGAAATTACCCAGAGCCAGTCATAGCTTGAACTTCAATGGCCTTCATAAGTCACGTGAAACCCAATGCTCTAAAACCTAGCTCGAAATTACATTACGCGTAAGAGACTACTAACCTACTCCTTTCTTTACTACGACAAGCACTCGAGTTCACCTTATGTGTAAAAAAAAAAAAAAAAAAAAGCCGTCGAACTTGCTCATGATATGATCTTTATTGATTTCAGATTGGAGTATTTCTCTCAAGAGGACTCCAGCCTCGAGCGAGTCTCCATGAACACAGCTAGCTAGCTCAGCCGTACCCGGGAGACCCCTTATGTACCAGCACGCTTCTAGGTAAAACTCTACCGTACCCTAAACCTCCTAGCCTAGGCTAGGTTCCCTATCCTTGACCTCCCTTTTTTCCCAGACGGACCCCGCCCTTTCCTACCGTAGCGGTGGCCTCTAGGGCGCAATCCGATCTTGATTGACATAAGAGAAGTTTGCTGAAAGCAATTTGTTTGCTGTGTCGAAAAAAACTGTTGTGTTGTTGTGTCTGACGCGAGTCTTTCTTTCGTCCGAGCTACCAACATTGTGCTCGACAGATAGACCAAGATAGTCGGTCTTCCCTTCAAAACAAGTCATAATCAATATCCCCCCACATTTTTTGTAGACCTGTTCGCCCAAAACGCCTCTGCTGCAAAAACCGCCGCTCAATAAACATTAGACATTGGGATATCTCCACCGCCAGGGCCTTCCCTGCCGTAATGCCTTGTCGTAACGCCATGTGCCGTATTTACAGTCTACTGTACTTTGTATAGACAAACGAAAAAAATCTTGGAAAGATTGAAATGTTGGTGCTCTATGCGACAGCTTATTGCGTCGCCTGGTATGCGGGGGGCGGATTGTCTTCCGGTTCCGCCCAAAAGTTCTCATTTCGTTGCTTCTCGTCGTATACACGACGCGCAATCTCGCCTGCCATCTTCATGATCCAGGCCTGCTCCAGGATCACCGATGAGGAATCGGAGCTCATCGGCCGACGCCGTTCTCGATTAAACGGGCTTCTGGAAGACAAAGCGAGGGCCTCTAAAATCCTTTCCTGGCGCCGGACTGGAGTACTACTCGCATTGTTCTCTACTGATACGTTCTCCGCCGACTCTACGGAAGCATCCTCATTGACAGCTGGATCTTTGAACATACCCATATCCAGGGGCGGACGAGATGGCAATTCCTTCTCAGTCCTGAATCGAACGTTACCTGAATACGGTTCTTCATCTGCTGGTTCTTCCTCAGGATCTTCTGGTATTGAAGTTGGCAAGATGGGCTCCGAGAATGGGCCAGCAACCGACGTAGTATCCGATACAGACTCACTAGCTTCGGTACTCGTCTCATCTCCGGCTCTACTGCGGCGTAAGTTAACCACACGGGTCTTCTTCTTGCGCGAGCTTCTTGAATGCCGACCAGCGCCAAGAGCCAGGCCGGTGGTGGCCGAGTGAAGACTAGTTAAAGAAGGCCGGGAGGGTATACTGCCTTGATCCACGCTGCTTGAATCGGTAAACGTGTAGGTTGTACTACTTCCTTGCACAGAATGGGTTCGCATTAGACTAGGCGTGTTTGGGTTCGGGGTTGAGTAACCGGTATCACTGCGGTCCATCGACCCAGCCCAAGCTCTGAACAATGCGTCACGAATTCCAGGTGTGAAAAGCGATAATGTCCGATGGGAGTCGGTAAGAGCTGCTAATCTCAACAGATTCTTCTGAGAGAAGAGCGACTGCATCTCTGGACCACCGTCCATAGATATCGACGCAATCTCACTAGGATCAAGCACATGTCCATTTGAGTCGACCGCTTCCGCGGGTAGATTGGTAAACGGGTCAATGACAGCTTCATCTTCGGCCTCTTCTTTCGGCACGACCTCTTCTCTCGGTAATTGATCGGGACACCAAAGCCGTAGAGAGAGTTTATGAATAATAGCTGGTAACTCATCCATCATTAAAGTTCTTAACTTTCCTTCAATGGTTCTCTGAAGGTAGTCTCGAACGAACTGGATAGAGTCAAAGGTCGAAGAGACCTTGAGTGATTCAAGAGGATCATTTCGGAAGACTAAGGTAAGGCCCTTTTGCTTCGAAAAAACCAAAATAATGAAAGCGGATAGCTTAATCTCAGATAAAGTAATAGATAAAGGTATAGTCAGACTTGACGCAGCCGCTAGTGGTTGAGGCGACGTGAAGGTCGGCTTAGCTGAGAGATACGTATTCAAGGGGTTTGCCTGTTATAATAATAATAATATTAGCTATCTTATGACGCACGAGCCCTAAGGCTTGGTAATTGGGGAAGCTCAAGAAAAATCTCCGAAGGAAAAAAGCGCGAACCCCTGGTACCCTGGGTACCTAGTAATTACAAAGATTCATGCAAAAACTTCCAAGAGCTCCACAGACGCGAAAAAAATGTGTAGTAAGCGTCTTTGGTTCCGCGTATGTTTGAACAATGGAAAGGGGGCTGGAAAAGGGAAAGCAGGTAGCTTAGCTGCGATAGGTAATGGGTAACCTTTGTGTTGGTTTAGGGATGGAAATGTTTGGATGTTTGTGAAAATGTTTGTGCGACTGTAGCAATATTTGCTTTTATGAACGAAGCCATCGACGTAATAAGCTTTAGGGTGGAAAGCTTCGCAACGCCATGACGAAAAGCTTTGATATAAAATTGTAGTATAAAAAAAGAAAAAAAAGAAAATCACAGTGGGACCCATCAACGACTTCGTTTTTGCCCAACCCCCTCTTTCTCCGCGATAGCAAACGCAACAAAATAACAAGAAAAAAAAGCAATATAGCACCTACTTGAACTCTCGTCCGCAATGTCAAAAAGGCGTCGCCCGAGTAGCACATCTTGAAGATGCCGCGAAACCTATCCTCGGCCAGGTCCCCAATCTCCAGAATCTCCAGATCCGGCGGTACGGACCCGAGGTTGAACTCGGTGACGAGGATATCATCGACGATTATGGGGGGCTTCGGAGATTTATTGAGTGCGTCCGTGAGGAGCTCCTGAGCTCGCTTATAGAACTCGGCGTCGGCCGTGAGCGGCGACCAGTTGAAGTTGAAGGCCATGGCGAGTGAAGCATTTAGTAGATTCGCATCGTAGCATGTAGGTATGCAGCAGAGCGGTCGGGTGGTTGATAGGTACAGGGGAGAGGAACGAGCGGTGTTGGATTAGGATGGGACTAAAATACAATGCAAGTCGGTGAGTCGGTTGTGGTGGCGGCCGGCCCGGGGGATTTAGTTGATCGGACCACAAAAAATAACGACGAGACTAGACGAGACAATGGCTGATCGTATGCGGTGAAGTAGGCGATGCTGGCGATAGTAGGCGGCAGGGTAATAGATCGTATGATAGGACGGTTGGATAACCTTGAGTGGATTAAGGATGGGACGAAGTGGATTTTGAAAGAGGGTCGTTTGGAGCTTAGGTCTATGCGGATTGTATGGCTCTGAACTCTGTATGGGCTGGATCGATCAGATGGATTGGAAATAATTGGAAGGTTTCGTAGGTTGGGGTTAGTAGGGCCATAGGCCGTAGGGGACTGGACTGGGGGGAGGATTTTCCAAGGGATTTGTGCAGGAAGATGACGCTATGCGCAATGCACTGCGACCCGATGCAGGCTTTATGAAAGATGAATGGAGAAAATGAGATAGTTAGCGCGAATAGATTTTTTTCTTCTTTTCCCCTTCTTTTCCTTCCAGTTGTTCGTGCCTGACGGAGCTGGGCTTAGGTGCTGGTTGGTTCCCGAAGATAATAATACGGGTCCTGCGGAGAAGATGCGCTAGATATCTCATCTCAAGAGCGGTTTATGCTCGTCCGTACTAGCCAATATCGGCAACCTTTTTCCTTAAATTATCTACCTAATGTACAGTAATGCATCTGTGCATGTGCACAATGTCCGGGTGGTCTGTGTGCCTTCCGACTGACGGTTACGATTGACACCGCCGGTTTCATTAGCCGTACCGCCACCGCATAGATGCATAGTGTATGTACATTCCCTACATAGGCATGTAACTGCCCTTGCTCCTGCCACTCAAGAAGGGGGGGCACGCGAGCAACACGTAACAGTACTATAAAAAACTTACTTTTTAGGGCAAGGGACCTAAGGGAACTGCCAACCTCTCCCTCGGGTCTAGAGTTCGGGTCTAGAGTTGACGCCGGCTGCTGTTTGACGGGTCGGTTAGTCTTGTCTCGCCTGTTCTCCATCCACCCGGACTAGACCTACATAGTGGAAATATCTACCTAGGTCTACCTGGGTAGGTATGCTCGCATAGTCCGGACAATCCGTGTTTGCGTTTTTCTCACCACCTTCACCGAGGTATTATGACATGTAGTTTTTTTTTTTTTTTTTTCTTTGTTATACGGGTTATATAAAGGGGGAA